ATCCCACTTCTTCTAACTTCAATTGGTTTGTAAGCCTTTTTCTGATTTTGGTACATCGGGATTTTATGCTCCTATCTTGAAAGTGTGGGTTTAATACCATAAGCATGTTGATAAGACCTTGTATGTCGTCTGTATATTGCCTTGCAACACTGAGGTGATCTTTTATCCTATAGACGTTTTCAAGGAAATCTCTTAGTTGAATATAAGTCATGACAAAATTTTCTGTTTCAATGAAGTTTTTAGCTGGTGCAAGGAGGGATTCTACCGTTATATTGTTTTCATTGGATGGGATAGAACGAGGTTTTTTTCGGGTGCATGAAATTGGTTTTTGAAATGGATCAGTCATGTTGTCGCTAGTTGGGCTAGTGGTTTCCGATAAGTTTAGTTTGTTTGAGTTGTGCTGATCTGCCGTAGAAGGTGATCCAGTTTGAGAGACTTCGGAATCAGTAGTTGTAGTTTGAACATTAGAAGGCGCGTTTGGGATATTTGTGTTATGATCCAAATTGGATGATGCTAGAGCCGTTACAGTCTGTGGTTCAGGTCCTGCCTGTTCGAGATTGGCACGAATTATCAGTACCAATAAAAAACTACGTAAAGATTGTATACAAAATTTATGGTGGAATATGTATTGAACTGAAGAAAATGATTTCACTTACGTGAAATTTGACGATTGTGTATGAACGGAGAAGTGATATTGAATCAACTCGCTGGTTCTCACAAATTAAATACACTTTGATGTCGTTAAATATATAAGTAAAGATGGACTGGTTGATATGTGAACTATAACACTCTCACCCAGAGCCGGACTTCCAGATCTAAGTTATTGTAATATTGATTTTCCAGCTTCAGAATACGAGAAATCGGACTGTTCAAATCATAATTCGTATGGAAAAAATGTTTGTGAAAAATGTCAGGATTTCTCATATCTTTTTGTTTGATTTGGAAAGTTATTAGTAGAAGTAGTTCCGGGCAGTTCATCTCACTATTTATTAATTTGAAGAGGAAACTTAAGTTCAAAGAAATTCTTCTATCTTCCAATGATTTTATATTTAACTTGGTTAAGAGTTCACTGTACTCATATTTATTTCGTTGAATACCAAAGTGAAAAGCACATTTCCATAAGACTTTCTTTTGAACATTCTCAATCAAATCGATATTTACATTATAGTATGGGTCCCATATAATGGAACAATATTCAAGATAGACTTTACAAAAGCATATAGAATCTTTTTTGTTTTAATTGACTTTTTGTCACAATTTCTGATACTTGAAGATTGAAATTAATTTCATTATCAAATTTAACTCCCAGATCGCGAATAAATGTGTCTTTTTTGAGAGCTATATTATTCAATGTATATTCAGAGAATATTGGACTTCTAATTTCAGCGAATGTAATGATTTGACGCTTATCAATGTTTACCTCTAACAAATTATTTCTACACCACATGGAAAAAGCTTCGAGATCTTTTTGAACTAATGCAGCATCTTCCCGATCGAGCAGTAATTGCTCGATGAAGTTTGAGATCATCAGCAAGCATAAGAAATTTTGAATATTTGAAAACAAACTCTATGTCCGATACAAACAAGCAGAATACGGGAATATGAGACCCCTGCGTTACTCCTGATGGAACCTGAATGGGCGTAGATGTTGTATCTCCGTATTTTACAGACAGAGTTCTGTCGGTATAGATAGAGTCAATCTGTAGCCTTCTCTCATTATTTTCATTTGAGTAGTTTGAAGAGCAAGGTTGGTATAAGTGGATTTACCTTCTGAGAAACCGTGTTGTTGGAATTGAGTAAAGACTTATAGTCCCAGGAAAATTTCTTTGTAAGCATAAAATCAAACATCTTAGCCATCTCTGACTGATTGCAAACTGCTCTATAATTCCTTATCTCCTAGTTTATGTATTGGTTTCAGGAAGCTATGTTTCCAATAATCTGGAAAGGTACCTATAGAAAAAATTTTATTGAAAATGTTTCGTAATGGAATTGCTAAAGTGTATAGACATTTGTGTAAAAAAAATAAAGGTATCCCATCAGGTCCCATTGTGAGCTTAGGTGAAACAGAGAGAACGTAATCTATTATATCCGTAGCAGTAATACTGTAATTGTTAATATAGACTTTGTTTTCGAAATTATATTCAGGGGTAAAATCCACTGTCTGGTTATTATATACAGTTGAAAAATAAGAGGCAAACAAATTGACAATTTCAGAAGTATTATTACAGATTTTATTTTGATAAAACATGGCTGAAAGTAAATTATAATTCTTTTTTACTCTGAATATAACTCCTAAAGGCCTTTGGATTATCAGAAATATCATCTTCAATTTTAATAATGTAGTTCTCATAGCACTGATCTCGAATAGCTTTACAACTGTTCCTCAATTTGCAGAAATCAAATAGAAATTAATGTTGCCTGTTTCCTTAAATTTTTCATGAGTGTTTTTTTCTGGGGTTAAAACTGTACCAAGAGGGAAAGGTAGAAGTTTTGAATTTTTTCAAAGGAATAAATAGATGGATTGTCTGATAAATAATGTCATAAAAACAATTGATGTTATTATTAATATCTGAGTTACGAAGAATATGTTCCCAATTAACGTTGAAAGTCCAGTGGCCTAATATTAGGTGATCAAATAGGCATTATATGGAACTACGCTTGTATATCCAAGAATCCCAATAGCTTTCGTCTATGTATCCCCGTTCAGTCACAAGATTATTATCAAGCAACATCCTGCCATTGATTAAATTATATATGATCACTCAAAATATCAGCCAATTTGTTGATTTTGAGCAATAGGTCTCTCAAAACATGAGACTTCTTGTCAGAGCTGTAATAATCATTTTGTCTTTCAACTTTACCGATTAGACTCCATAATATCATCTGAAAATGTGATCAGTCATGATTTTACAAAATTGCATTTTTCACATATAGTCAGTGGGCATACTTGAAGACTAGCTATAAATTAAATCATATAAAGGAACAAATTGTTCAGGTCAGTCTCAACTCCCTACACTGTAGTTAATAGACTGACACCTATCAGAAAATAACTACTCCCCTGGCTAATACCACGAAGGGCGTTGGATTATATCCGACAGACGTCAGTGCAGGAATCTTCACAGACAATTTCCTGCATATGCAATTGGCAATACAAGAGTCGACCTTCAATTTTGGACTTAAAGTCGATGATGGCCACTATCTTGCACTGACGAGTGGCAAAGAGCCCGAAACTGGTCTGCAAGTGTGCCCATTCCAAAATTGAAGGTTTACTCTTTCAGTTGTATTGCCAATTGCATATGCAGGAAATTTCCTGTGAAGATTCCTGCACTGACGCCTGTCTTTAGATTTATTTTCTAACTTCAAAACCCGTTATGAAAATTAAGACGATCAATACTGGTTGAATAAGTAATTAAAACACTATTATAAAGGGTAATATTTCACCGTAACTAGTGATTCGTTCAAATTTAAACGAACCTTCATTGTTCTGTACCTCATTGTTAATCTCTGATTCTAGAATCACAGTTCAAAAATGAAAATCAAAGAAAAAAACAATTTCAAACAACTAGTTTTGTTTTCATAGAGTCTAGTGAGCAAAACAATAAATTGATAATATACAATAATTGTGTGTTACGTACGCCATATCATATAAGAGTTTTATATGTGATTACCAAAAATAATAATTGATTTCAAAGAAGATTTGATGTATACGTACAGGGTAATTCAAGATAAAATTTTATTTCACATCTTTTAAACGATTTTATCTGAATCGCTCTGTATCCCATTGTGCATCTCATATCAAAATGATATAAATTTGTGTCTTAAATTCAATAGTGCTAGGATAATGAATTTTCTGTTGAAAAATAGTTCAAAACCTAAATTTGTGGGAACCATCAAATGTACTGTATAAGAGCTAGTGATTTTGTATAGTCATTTTTATAATAGCTAAATTTGGAACCAATACCTGTAGTTTAGGATGATATCTATATATTACGAAATAATCTATCAATAATTATTGTTTGTTATCATTTGAATACAATATATCATTGCTATCCGTGAACTAAGATTTATTTCCATTCTTCATCATTCTTTCATCAATATTTGAGTCTGAAGATTTTTAATAAACTGCCTAAAGAAATAATTAGTTCCGCCAATATTTCTATTTTTAAAACTCGCTTGAAAACATATTATATACTCGACAATGCTTTTTATACATTGGATGATTTTTTTATTCTTTAGATTATAAGTGACTATTCCTATATGTTTTATCATCTTTGGGATTGACGGAAAAACAGATTGATCAACTGGTAGTAGAAAAAATTAATTAACTGGTTTTGGGAGGTTAGAAATATAATCGAGAGCGGAGATGTTGCAGGTAGGTAAAGATTTAATGATATTCTCGAAATTCGATATTCGAGAAAAATATGTTGAATTCATTGGCACTGATGTTGTTGGAGACTGTTTTGAGATCACCAGTAGAGTTTCGTTCGTAGTTCAATAAGTTCCAAGTATCTTTATGTTTCTTGGTTGGATTTTGTATACATTTATCATACGATTCTTTTTTTGCTTTGTAAACTGCAATTTCATATTCATGTTTGCTATCGGCATGTCCAGCATATCTCATCTCAGCCTATATCTACCGATGAAACGCGAGGTTTTACATGCTGAGCAGCTTTGGCACACAGTACGGTACTGAAGAGACACCTTGTCTTGTTAATGCTGCCTTATACTCCGGGAGGAATTGAATCTGTTGTAAGGAATAGCAGGTCTCAAATTAATTGGAAAGAGGTGAACGTCAGAATTTAATTTTTAAACTCCACAGACTCTGTTGAAATTGTTGTTTTGGTTGAAAAAATATTGTGGAACAATATCTTTCCCGGCTTGCTACAAAACGACAAACAATATTGGCCGTGCAGATACAAAATGCTGTCATATTTGGTTCACTACGTCGTTCACTACGGAGCCAATCAGCACTCACTCCACAGAAGTCATTGGTTAATATTAGCCCAAGCAGCAATCCTCACCATAGAGTAGAAGAAACAATTCAACAGTGTAAACATCAGCCTATCAAATCCCTTAACCATTACATGACACAGTTACAGAACACACGATTCTCAAATACTGTTCCTAATTGTCAAAAAAAGTTTGACGCCCAAGAGACACAGCTCTGTGGAAGCCACTTCAATAAAATCAGTCATAATGACATTAGTTTGTCAAAACTCAAAAGTGTCGAAATGGGCAACTGCTTTTACGCATTTTATGAGAGGTTCTGCGATTATCCTTTGAAGAAGTCGAGGTCTTGCGCTTATCATCTGCCATTTCCAGGACAAGAAGGTAAGATAGATAGTAATGTGGGTAAAATATAGTAAATAAGTGATACTGTTGGATAATTACGTTTTTTGAACTGAAAAACGTGTAAGGTAGGTACTATTGATACAGAATTGATGGCAAAATCGTATATTATTTTTCAAAGAGATGAGTTTAAAAAAAATCGAATTTCTACTTTTCCAACGATTTATGTATAGAACGTGTGGAAACCACTTTCAGAAATTTTTTTCACAAAAATTGAATTTGAAGTTATGACAACTTCGGAGGAGAAGTCTCATCAAATAATTATTTATACTAGAACTTCAAACAGGGCATTACCTTCCTCAATTCAGCATTGCCAGTTGCACATTTTGAAAATTATCTGCATCTCACTGATATGCTCGCAGTTTCTCACTTTGATCTATATTTTCAATAACTTTACATTTCATCCATATCAAAAGTCCTATTCACAGTTGTCTACGGTCTTAAACAATGACCTTAATCCTAACTAAACATATGAATATGAGTTTCTGAAGAAATGTACCTAAGAAGAATTACGTATACTCAGGTTATGTTTGCTCATGATCTAAATGGCGCCACTTTAGAGTTGATACGCCAATCGTAACAAAATGTCAATTAATTTCCACATTTCTCCTAAGTCATGGGTATCAAATGAATAGTCTTCATAGAAAATCTTGATGTCTTTATATTAAATTGAATATGACGATCCACTCAAGTTATAAGGCTGTTTCATTTTAATGTCCTATTGATACTTCTTATTTTGATGCTGTTTTTTTTTTCGAATTCAAATTTTCGGCCTCTTTTCAGCTCATTACTATATGATGTGGTTCAGCAATTTTCGGCTAATTTTTCTCTACGAATCCATAAAAGGATCAGATCATCACGTGTGACGAAAAGTGGATCCACTAGGAAGTCTAAAACAAACGAGACGATGTTCAGGAGAGTGGTTGAACACCGATGGATCATCCAGGCACTTCCCAAAGGCGAAAACCCACCAAAAAAATTAAAACAAATCTGTCAATTCATTATATTACACAATTCATACAATAATTTGAATATACAGGGTAGGGTTTTTATTGAACATGCGGAAAAAAGTTAAGGGACTATTCCTTGGACTATTCTAAAGATATTAAGTTCTCTGATGATTTTTGATTAGGCGCTTTGTTTCGAAGATACGGGGCGAAAAAGAATATCAACAATGAACATTTTGGTCATTTCAAAATTATTAACGAAGCCGAAATAAAAGTATAGCGTACTAAACAATTTCGTTGGTAACTATCCTATATATTCCTATTACTACAAACGGCTGCAAATATTCCATTTCAATAGTATGTCTCGTAAGTGATCATTTGTATGTGTCAAATAAGTTGAAACTGATTGACTTTGTCTATTTGACGTGCATTTTCTGTGTTCAATATTTAAAGTCTTGTTAGTGAAGGCTTCCATCATGAATGGCTATAGTAACGCAGAGATGGCTGACATACATTTCATTTATGGACTTGCTGATGGCATTTCATTGGAAGCTAGGCGGTTGTACAGTAAATGATTTCCTAATCGTAATGTGCTCAATAGAAAAACCTCCCAAAGTATACATCAACGACTTCGTGAAACAGGAGCATTGAAGCGAAATGGAGGAACAGAAAGACCAATGACAGTAATAACGGTAGGAGTAGAAGAAACTGTGCTGGCCATGATAGAAGATCCAGGTACCTCTACTCAAAAAATTGCAAAGACTTTACATGTAAGTAACGGGACGATTTGGTACATTCTTGGAGGCTATTTGTTGTACCCATACTACATACAACGAGCTCAGGCACTTCTTTCCGCAGATTTTCTTCCAGTTATTGCATTCTGTCAACGGCTTTCGCACACATTATCCCTCAACTACTGACGCTTATTCTTTCCACCGGTGAAACCAGTTTCTCAAGAAGTGCGATGAGGAATGTTCACAATAACCATGTTTGGGCTGAAGAAAATCCACATGAGGTGCTTGAAGATCGCTTTCAACATCAGTTTTCCTTAAACGTTCAGGTGGGAATTTCAGGGGACTTCCTAATTGGACCGGTAATCCTTCTAGGAAGACCTATCGGCGAGATATACCGCAACTTTTTTAGAACAAACGCTACTTCAGCTTCTGGAGGTTGTACCATTGGTTACAAGAAATGCAATGTGGTTGGCTCGAAAGGTTCCAACAGTAACTACGGAGATCGCTGGATTGGTCGAAGTGGACCTCATTACTGTGGACCTGCCTTAATGCAAATGATTTCTGTGAATTCAGCTCCACAATGATCGATAACATTATTAAACAAATACCTCTCACGGATGAATCTGGGGATGATCTCGTTGAAATAACTGTGAAAGATTCAGTATTCTTGAGTCCCACAAATGAAAAAGAAGCAACAAGTGTGATAAAAACACTCAAGAATAGTTCAACTACGGATGCATATAACATAAGCTCCAAAATAATCAAAGTCATACCGGAAATCCTAAGCACACCACTCGCACACCTACTTAATACATGCATGGAGAAGGGAGAATTTCCATCACATCTGAAACTGTGTAGAGCAACCCCAATCATGAAAAAATGTGATATAAATAACTGTGATAATCATAGATATATAACAATTACTCCAATAATATCAAAAATAATTGAAGTAATTATCAAAGACAGAATAACGAGCTTTTTGGAAAACGGAAAACATCTCGATGACCAACAATATGGATTTCGATTGCTGGGATCAACTTCACAAGCTGTTACTGTGATAGTTCACTCAATAGCAAAAAATCTAGACGCAGGAGTACATACATGTGCAATCCTATGCGACTTATCGAAAGCCTTCGACAGTGTCTCACATGGCATCCTATTAGAAAAGCTCCATAAATACGGGATACGTGGACCAGCTCTCCGACTCGTTGAAATATTCATTACGGACAGACAACAATACATATCCTACAATAATGTGACCTCCAGAATCATACAAATCAAACATGGTGTACCTCAGGGCTCAGTCCTGGGGCCACTGTTGTTTATAATCTATATGAATGATCTGCCAACCTTCTTAGACATCGCAGATGTATTTATGTACGCAGATGACTCAACTTTTTTAATCAGAAGCAGGAATTTAGAAGAGATCGATAGGATGTCAAGTGAGACACTGTCACGAGGTAAAGCTTACTTCAACGCAAATATTTTATCTTTGAATAAAAACAAAACTAAAGAAATAACTTTCTCAAAAAATACAGCAAATGATTCATCAGTCAAAATACTAGGATTTCACATAGATTCCAACCTGAACTGGAAAGAACACATTCGGGAATTGCAAAAAACGCTGTCCAGAAGTCAATTTTCATTTAGAAATCTCAGAAAATAGTATCAATTGAAGTGCTGAAAACTGTATATTACGGTATTGTTCACTGCCACTTAATGTATGGGATTTTATTATGGGGCACAAGCTCAGCGTGCCACCAGTTATTAATAAATCAAAAACACTACTTAAAAACATCACTTCTTGTAAATCCACTTTATAATATTAAAGATGTTTTTTCCCATATATGGACTTAATATTTAGTACTGTCTATTTACCGTACTACCTTACATAAAGCCTAGTTTCTAGGATTATCTCATTTTTACAGCTATACATAGCTTTACAAATTTTATTTACATAGCTTCACAAATTTTACATACATTTTTATATCTACACCTCAGTCTTGACGTACCTACACAATTATGTTGTGAATTCATCTCATAAACATTTTTGAAATTTTTAAAGGTCAATAAATATCTTATCTTATCTTATCTTATGGCCTGCTCGATCACCGGACTTGAACCCCCTGGCTTATTTTCTATGGGGCCATATAAAGTATTTAGTTTATACTACTTCAGTGGAAGATGTGAAAGATTTGAGAAATCGGATAAACACCCTGTTTCATACACAATAATTATAAGAGAAAATTATGAATTTTTCAATGAGAAAGGTGAAGTTTTCCACATTACTGTACCAATTATAGTGACTGTGTAATAAAGTAACAAATTTTATTCAGTTTGTATATTATTTTCTTCTTTTCAGGGCAATACCAGGGCAATGTACAATGTACATTGCCCTGTACATGTACAATGTAGTCACAAATAAGAGGCTCTACAGATATCTTATTATTGGGAAATGTTTTTTGAATATATTCATATTTCGGCTATCCAAAGAAAAAACAATCACTGACTTTTTCATAAAAAATGAATCTCAAAAATACCAAGACTTAGTTACTTTGAAAGTCATTTGTTGATGTTATTTTTCCCAATCACTTCATTCCTACAATTTTTTTAGACTCCATCAATAAAGAACAAGATGATGGCAGTCGGATTAAAACCCAATACGAAGAGGTCATGGATGAATTCAACAGATTGCTTCTTGAAAAACGAATTGAAAATCGTTCGAAAGTGAAAGGGCAGACATGGGAGGAAAAAAATATCCTTACCCAGTATCCGGAATGGAATGAATCTACAATTTCCTACCTGCATAGTCTTTTTGTATCTTTCTGTGATGACAAGAATAAGCAAATCGACTTCAAGTCATTGTGAGAATTGATGAATATAAATGAATTATTCAAAATTTGTTTGTTCAGTTCATGTATTTTAGAATCTTTGGGAGACGAATCATCAATGGAAAGTAGAAAGCATAAGTTTGAAGAAATGGATCAGGATCATAATGGTTACATAGAATATACTGATTTCCTTTACGTGAGTTGGTCGTGATTCTAATTCTTTTGACAGAGAAGAGTTCAGACTAGGCAAAAAGGTTATAGCTAGTTGAACGGGTTGAACCTCCATCTCTATACAAAAAGTGGAAAATTCCAAAAAAAGGAAGTGAAAAATCAAGTTCAAAATGAACTCTGTAGAAACATCATACTCAAAAGTTACTTTTAGATACAAACTGGAAAAATAAGCCTGGCGTAACAACTAGTTTCATTTGAACATTGAATTATACCAAAGTCACCTTTTACTATTCAATTTGTATCACAAACATCCATTATGGAGTTGAATCAGACATCATTCATAGAATCGCTACACAATATAATACAGGGTGTTCCAATGAAAACTTGACCCCCCTCATGTAATTCGGAAACGGACGTGTAATCGGAGATTTCAAAAAAACACATAAATTTTCATTTCTGCGGGGACTAATTCTGATATAGAAATCATACAAGAAACTGCGGTCAGCAACTACTCCCCCTATTTTTTGCAATGACATGGAGAATACATCATTAGAAAGGTCTTTTGTCCCTCTTTTACTTTTGTATTTTTATTTTTTCGAAATTTTATTAAGAAAATCAACAAAAGTAATATCAATGGCAACACAATCAACGTATAAGGTGTTCAAAATGACCCCTATCTAGTTCCATATAATAATACACTCTACTTTCGAAAGCGTTCTACATTATTGTATATGTCAGAAATCGGCATTCCCGAACAATTATCTGTCGCAGTTCTCCTAGATTTGTTGAATTTATTTAATTAGTAGTTCACGTTTTGAAATGGACGACACTGTTAGTTTTTTCTGAACTGGTAGTTTTTGTTGAATCTAGTTGTCGCAGAACAAAAAGTAGATAATTGGCCACTGTCACTTCTTCACGAATTATTGATGGAAACACATTCACAAACTCCACAAAAATTGAATGTCTAGGTCGGCATTTTTGGTAATCACATTGTTGGACCATTCTTCACTGAAGGTAATCTCAATGGAGACACATTATATTACAAGACTGTAGATCCTATGATTACACAAATTTCAGAAAATGATGACGGTTTAGTAGAAAATGAAATAACATTCCAGCAGGACGGTGCACCCTCACATTTTGATGTTCGGGTGAAACAGTTTTTGGACGAACGTTTTCCAATGGGTTGGATCGGCAGAAGGAGTCCAGTGGAGTGGCCAGCTAGATCACCTGATCTCACACCGATGAACTTCTTTCTGTGGGGATATGTGAAGTCGAAAGTGTACTCTACTTAACCTACAAATCTGGAAGACCTACGACAGAGAATTGTTCGGGAATACCGATTGCTGACTCCGTACATCTTGATTAATGTACGGAACGCTTTCGTGAGTAGACTATATTATTGTATGGAACTAGGTGGAAGTCAATTTGAACTGAGAAATGATTTACCTGATTTACCTGACTAGTAGATAAGGCAACATTATAAAATTAATTTCAGACAATTGAGAAGCAGGTACCTAGCAGAAGTATCTATGGTATAAATGAATACAACATTGTATGTAGATTTAGTTTATTCTTCCTCTTGAAGATGATCACTTGGTGATCGAAACACGTGTCGAGATATTGAAAATAACGTTTTGGTGTTGGGATAAACTCCAGTAATATTTATTTATGCATTTATCAACAGGTTCAAGACCCATTTCACTCAAAAGAATTCAAAAATTAAAAATAGCTACACATAATACCCAATAAAAAGTATAGATAGATTCAAAAAATTATATATCTATATAAAACTAGTCGAATTGTGAATATATAAAAATACAAACAGTAATCAAATGCATGTACATATGATAATATGTCACTAGATTGAATGTTATATTAGAACATTCACTGATTACTGTTGAAATAATAATAATAATGTTTATGAATCCCAACAGATATGTCAACAAACGTTCTCTTCCTTCCATTAGAAGTTTTCCACTTGCTGTATAATGACAGAGAAGTAAAAATCCAAAAACTTGTCCTTTCCGAATCAATTAAGAGTTATAACATATAGGGTGCCACAAAGTTCAATTCTGAGACTGGTTCATTCTAAACGTAGGATTAGGAAAATCATTCAAGTATAAAAATCTGAAAATGATTTCTTGATGATTGAATAGAAACAAATTATTACAATAATAATGATAATAATAACAACAATTTATTTTCCCAAGAAACATACAATGTTTATAGCAGGGAAAAAACAATAATTAAAAAAAATACTATAACATAACTAAGTACGAACAGAGCACACAAAAAAAGATAAATCAGAACTGAAACTTGAAGAAAATATAAATATGCATACATATACACACACATACACATTATTATCAACATGAACATAAATGTACTCATCAGATAATATATCTATAGAAACAATAAATATGTTTTCAAATCAATCCGGAATTTTCGTTTATTGAATTTTTTCAAAGCATTCGGTAGCTCATCGACATCAATATCAATCGACACTTTGCTCAAAAGTCGTAATTATATTTCTCTATAATATATCAAATTGATCAATAATATTTAACGTTCCAGTATTCCACTTCTACTTCATATTTAAGAATAAACTTCTCGATATCTCCCTTATAAATTGAAAATAATTACAGAGAGTGTAACATTTCACTGAAGATATTTGTTTTGGAGAAAGATTAGTTTCCATTTTATTATATCTGCATAGCCACTAGACGAATAAAATTATTATCAGTAAGTAATTTCAAATCCAATTTTCGACAGAAATTAATTAATCATGACGAAATTGTGATATGTAATACAATTTCTGAAGAAAACGAAAAAATGGCCTCAAATTCAAAAATCAATTTAATGAATTAAATTAAAAATTTAGGATTTATATGATTTTCGTGTAGCCATAATCATCTTAATATTTTAATATTGAATATGGAAAATTTCGCATTAGACTGTTTGTCCGTATTGATTATTGTATTCGTGATTTCTCATTCAATTATTTATAATTCCTTATGTTTTACTTTTCAACACCTATTAACAAATTTTATGTTCACTGTTCAAATTAATTACTTGTGTTTTCTTGTTCAATATCGCATTATTTTGTTAAATGTGTATCTTTATTTGATTTGAATAATCCCTATTCATAAACAATGATTTTTTTTTTGAGATGATAAAGACAATAATATAGCATTCTTTTATTCAACACTTGAAAAAGCAAAACAAAACATTCAACGTAGGTACGCATTTAATAGCTTGTACAAAGGTGTACAAACATGAATCGAATGCAATTCCACAGATTTTGACAGCAATTGATGGATAATCACCATGGTTTGACAGTTTACATTCTTTAAACGATGTTCATCAAATATTTTTTACGCTTCCAATTTTTTCATACTACTCAAATAGTTGTTTCCAGAGCCCCAAGTTTCTACTTGGTGTTTTTCAATATATTCCATAGTTTTTTCAAATGCAGAAGTTAAATATCGAAATTGACTGATTTATGAAGTTTGGAGGTATTACATTACTTGTGTTATAATTTTCAAATTTCGCTTTTTTCAGTTGGTATATAACTTTAACTCAATCAGAGGAGCCAAAGAAACTTCTTTGAGAGTGCTATGCCTGAAAATGACTGAAAAAATCAAAGCCGTCGAACGTTTATCCATTGGACAACAACTCGAATATGGATTATTTTAGTTCTATTAAGTATACATTCGTCCTGTATTATTCCAATGTAGTTGTAGCAAACACACAATATACATTGAAAGTGCCTGTCTTGATCCATTAAAAAACTTGTTCGGCCTCAAAATATTGCTATCAAAATTATTATGTTTTTCAAGTGAATCTTTATTTTTTTTAGTTTTAGCCTAGAGTTGCCAGTTCTAAAATTTGTACAACAAAACAGATTGTTTTATGGCATTATTTTTATTTTATGTATTATTAACTAATCTTGTTTAAGTTATTTAATTTTTCATTATTCCTAATCGGGGTTTTCCAATGTACGGGTCCTCATAAAATTCAATATTTTCGAATATCTTTTCTCAAGCAACCCGTATATTTAACGTATATATGGATAGATGTTAATAAATTCCTTAATTGTTACTTGTATCCCTTATCTTGGGAATTACCCTCTATAATGACCTTTCCTACCTTTTCTATCTACCAAACATCTGTCTATCCCTACAACGACGAATCTGACCCTTTTTCTAACTGCCGATATGAAACATTGCATTTTGTAAAATCATATCATTACGTTTCAAACCTTGTAAGAGTACAGTAAGAATTAAATCTTGTCTTGTCTACAGTACATCTAGCTAGTTATTTTTCTTATCCTATCTTTCCATAAGAGTTATTGTAATTCTTGTGTGCATTGAGCATTCATTTTCACGATTAAATATCATGGGTCAAAACAAAATTGAAAACAACAAAATGTGTAGTTACACTTTTTGTATTTATTCCAAAAATGGTGTTTTACAATCTTCATGATGAACTGTTACTCTCAGTCAGTTTCCAATCTCAATATCCTGAGCTTTCCTTGATCTGCCATAACACATGCTGCATCGTTTTGTCCTCCACAATATTTGGATGAAGAAAAAACCGTTAGCAATTTCCCTTTTTGTTGAACCTGCACTAAGCCAAAGTCAAAGTAATCAATAATGATTCAAATAGTAACTTATGAAGTATATCTTGTAAACGTCAATGTTTATGTGTGAAGTAAAATTTCACCTGTGGATTTTTACGCACAGTAAGTAGTTGGATGTGCTTTGAGTTTTGATCAAATGTTGACATGACGATATTAGTTACTAAATTTATGATCAATAATGGAGCTGGTAGATAATCAATGTGGATTCTTATCAGAAATTGAATAATACTCCATTAGAAATAAAATTCGTAGCCCAACAATTCAAACAATTCAAATAGCAAATCGTTTCGTTCATGCATCCATCATTCATCTTTCAACATGTAAACTCAACCTATCTGCTAAGTCTTATTTAACACAAAGCTGGGAACACACTGCAGGGAGGTTGGTAGATGGTAGATAGCTGCCTGGCGAACATATTACTATTTATAAGCGAGTAACAGAACGACGGTAGCCGCAGTGCCCCCCCCCCCACTACCATCTAACCTCCAGAAACCATCCGAAGGTACGCCAGACGTCTATCCAACCTAATCAGTCGTGTTTGATATTCCAGCCGGGTAGCCTAGCCATGGAGGAAAGCGTAATAAGTTCTGTGTACAAAAGAAGGGCAATTTGGGACCCAGCAGACCCGTTAAGAAAAAATTTGCACTTCTGGAAAAAGAAATCAGCTGCGAAGAAGATCCGGATTTGTGTTTCTTCAAGACTTTACTTCCATATATGCGGGAATTAAGATAAGACCTTATCTTGAATGAATAAGAAAAAAGAAATTTGTCTGTGGGAGCCCCTCAATTTGGCCACGAGTATGATAGTCGTACCCAGTACCCAGTCAAATTCTACTGATATTTCATGCTTTTCGATGGAACACCAATCATTAGATTCGTATGGTGGAATATCTACAACTCAACAGCAAGATGCTTTTTTTTTTCATAATATGTAACTCTTTTCTTTAACGTTTATGTTCTAATGTTTAATTTCAATAATTTTATTTGTTTATCAAAGAGAGGCATGATTGTTACTTTTCCGCTGTTAGTTAGATACTGGCTTCATTTCACTGCGTCCAGGATGCATTGCCACTCCACCATCCACCTTTACCATCCACCCTCCTAGCGACCATCTAGCATCCTGCAGTGCGGCCCCGGGTTAGAGCCAATCCAATTTGTATTCAATTGAGTGAATCTTGATTTTCGACATGAGAATGGTGGCAGTGTACATTCCTAGAACTGTGATTGTTTAAGAAGACAGGGAATTGCTGTTGTAGGCAACCTACCCCTACTATGAGCGGCTTCTGTATGAGAAATGAAGCCGCTACCAACTAGTTCACGTGTACTGAAGAATTGGCGGTTCGTATTGGATAATTTTTACTCACCGAGTTTTATGATTTGCTGAAGAGTCATAAAACTAAATTTGAAGTCATGTTACGGTGACGAAAAGAATTCGAGGATGGTTATAACAGTCGTGTTGTCAATGTTCAGTTCAGGAACTATTCGCGATTTGAGTGTTGGAATTCGATATTGTTGCACTTATAATTACTTACAATTTTTGTTATCTGTTTGAAATGTGGCATCCATAATTACTTACAATTTTTGTTATCTGTTTGAAATGTGGCATCCATGGACACGTGCGAATAGTAATAACGAGTGTGATAACAACGCAGACTTTTTCCTGTGTAGTAATTCCAATAGCGATGGTGAACAATGAGAAAAAGAGATACCAATGAATAAGATTCGGATGCATTTGAATATTAAAACGCAGAGAGTATGTTTCAATGTATATAAGAATCTACATACAAGTCTGGTTTCGAAGAAAACAAACTATTACAAGCAACATCAAATTTGACCGAAATTCCTTTCTCAACTGTTCGTAAAATAGTCAAAAACAAACCCCATATGAACGCAAGACGCGATGTGATACGGGATTACCAAAACCTTTAGATGTTCATCTAATTAAATCATTGAAAAAACAATACAGGACTATTACAAAATCATAAGGAAGAAATTGAATACTTCCGGCCATAACGTGAGCTGCTGTGACAAAACTCTTCAGAATTGGATTAAGAAACTAGAATGTAGATTTAAAATAATATACAAACGTCAATCAGTTATGGAAAGCAGAAGAATAGTGGAATTGCGTAACATATACTTAGAAAAAATCACTAAATAGGGACAAGAACAACGGCAAATTTTCTATTTGGACGAAACTTGGTATAACACTCACGACACAGTTACGAACGGGTGGACTGATGGTGTACGCCTAACATGCATGCAAACAAAAGATCGCGACTAATCATTGTGCATTGCGGAGAAAGTAAAGAATGGTTTTCCAATTCTGTGACAGCATTTGGAAAAAACGTGAGGAGTGCAATAACGACTATCATAAGAACACGGAAGCTAATATTTTGAGGAATGGTTTGAAAACACATTGATCCTAAATTTCAATGCGAATAGTGTAATAGTTCTTGACGTCGCTTCCTATCATTCGCGACAGCTCATCAAAGTACCGAATAAAAATTCGAGGAAAGATGAAATACAAAGTTTTTTAATGGATAACAATTTGTATTTTGAAGACTACTATACCAAAAACCAACTACTTGAAGTTTGACAAACAAAAACATTTGAAAAAGTGTATGCTCCTGAGAGTATTGCTGAAAAGTATGGACACACCATACTGAGACTTCCCCGTCTAATTTTGTGTTTTCAATCCCATCGAGTTGATTTGGGGAAAATTGAAATAAAGCAACAAGCATAAAAATAATTTTCCAAAATTTGATAAGAAGGTAATAAAGTTAGTTAAAGAAGAAGTATCTTATATTACCAAAGAAGACTGGCAGAAAAGGATTAAAAAAATAAATTTTAATTGAAAAAGACTATATGGAGATTGGACTATATGAAGATTGGATATTAATAGTGGAAATAAATTCATTATTGATTTGAATGACGACAGTGATAGTGATGATAGTTATTGTGATTCTTATATAATCAGAAATGATTATTGAATAACAAAATTAGTTAGCTCCCCAACTATATTATTAAAGGGGAGCTGTTGGCAGGTAGATTGCACCATAACGTTTACTTGAACTATACGAAGAAGTAATTGTAAAATTAAATATCGAAGAATATTTTTAAACTGACTGGGCAAGAGCCAAATGATTAAAAATATATGGTATCGATATAAATATTTCAAAATGAAGTAAATATACCCAAACGGGGTGAATGATATTTCGGAAAGTTGTGATAGTGTTAGTTGTGAAATTATTAAAAATGAGAAATATTTAGTTTCACTTCATTAATTATCATCTAATCAAGATGTTATAAATGACGGCGTTCACTCACGAATGGATCGAACAATCAGACTAATGATATTCAAGTGACACTTCCATTATTTATAGTATAAAAATGAATCATTTTAATTTCCAGGTGATTTTACCCAAAAAAGCCAACTTGATATATCATTAATGAATGACAGACACGAATTAGAATCAGTTTTAATAGTGAATCTTCAGAGTAATAAGAAAATTCAACATAACATTACATCTTGATTCATAGAGAAAATATAAAATGATAATATAAGCAGGGACGACCGTCCAATATCGTAGGTCTTTGGTAAGTTTCGCCACTACTTACCCTCCCACAGGAGGGAGAACTAATTCCTTCCTCCGATGCTGGCTATGGGTTCATTAGGCTAACCAAGAAATAGGCCCTCACAACTGACCCCCTCGGACTAGGGGTCAAAGGCAAGGTGGTGGAGCCCTTAACGAGGATTTAACATACGGAATGCCACCGGACGCTTTGAGTGGACGCATGAGCTAAGGGAGGGAGAACTAATTCCTACCTTCGATGCTGGCTATGCGTTTATTAGGCTAACCAAGAAATAGGCCCTCACAACTGACCCCCTCGGACTAGGGGTCAAAGGCAAGGTGGTGGAGCCCTTAACGAGGATTTAACATACGGAATGCCACCGGACGCTTTGAGTGGACGCATGAGCTAAGGGATAGCTTTATGTGTTGCTACAGGAGTAGTGAGCTCACGCAAAGAGGGTACATGGCAAGAATGCATGTTCTGTGGTGTTAAACACACAGTGGAGACAACGAGAACGCGCAGGGCGCTTCACCGAATTAGGCCCCTGAACTCACAAGGGGTGGCTCGTTTGGATGCGGAGGTTCGTGATGTTCTTACAGAAGAGGGTGACATCTGGCAAATTGAAACCGCCGTGTACACAGCCATCCAATCGCTTTCAATATCAGGGTAACGGAATCCCGTCCTAGAGTTTTGGAAGATTGAATGGCGGGAACACAAAATAAAGGATGAGATCCTTTATTGGTAATAATTGGTAATAAAACACGCGTTTCGCATCCAATGTGTGATGGATCACAGGACATCTAAAAGGCCTCTAACGCCCGCAGTACGGCAGATAGCCGCCTAATTACGACGTATTCATTACACTTCGAGTCAAGCGTGCTGTTGACCACCAAACAGAACTGACTTGATGAAATAAGTATGCTAATGACTGTTGAAAAGTTACTAGTGGGGAGAGCGAGAAGCATTGCGGAAAACTCAAGTTCATCGAGAAACATTCTCGGTTATTTCAACAGCCTCCGCATGTTGTGGATTCGCGTTCATTCCAAAAAACCGAGATTTGTCGATTCTTAATAAATGAAGAGTGATAACAAGCTTAAATTCGTGTTATGAGTTGTTTACGAGCATCCTATACACATGAATACTCACAGCAGTCAACCGAGTATTGGAACGTATATGTGAGCAGAGAGGGTTAAAGAGGATAGTACAGAGAAGATATGCAGCTCGTAGATGGAAACATCCTGTACCATCTAGATGCTAGAGAGGTATACTGTTGTGGCAAAACAACGTCACTCACAAGAGGTAACAGCAGTTTAGAACTCTCTCCGCGGCAAGTATCAGCACAAATTTCGACAGATCTGGTTATCAGCTGCAACGAATATGCTTGCCATTTCAATTCTACTCAACCTCTTTGTAGTAGTAAAGTAGACTCGGGAGGAGTTGTATCAACTCGACGTGTAAACACCCGAAAAAATATGGATCTTTATAGGAGGGTGCATCCCAAATCGTCCGTCCACAGTTGTACTTCCCCTGACAACAGAGGTGCGTGAAATTTTCAGTTTTGAATGTAATACGTGACAGAATGATACTGGATGAAGTTCGTATTCCCTTCCCTGCATGTTTCGCGACCATGAGAGAACAGGAATTGGAGTATTTCTTTTCAAGGCAGCTACCCGAGCGGCTGCTGAAATCGATTTCATTTAGTTTTCAAAAAGTTGATCAAACCTCTGTCACCGATATCAAATCCGTTCATCAGAAGGCTCACATGAAAGCCACAGAGATGATTTCACTTCTGCGGCAACACGAGTATGAGCCGAAGCATAAGTGTCTTTTTCAGCCACACTGAAGACCTTGGCTTATTGAACAACCTGACTTTCGCTTCCCTCAGATCAAGTGGGCTGAAATCGGAAACTGAAGAGTTCATCATTGCCTGTCAGAATAGTATCTATAACACCGCGACTGAGGTAGAGCAGTTGTGTGATGGGTATAGAGGTTCCTGGCACAAGGCGCAGAGCCTGCCGCGAGACGCCTTGGACCATAATGTACTTACGTCGAGATGTTCAACATATGCGGTGTCAGATTAGAGTGCTTTACTATCACATATGGCACTTTTACGGTATTAACGAGACATATTTTTTTAAGACAAAACACAAGCACTGCAAGGAAATCCTCAAGGCGCTCTCAGAGCGGTGGCAGTGCGAAAGTAGCGATTCACATTGGATTTGCCCTACGCTCCGGGGATGTTGAATCCATTGTGAGGAATGATTGCCGAATTCATTACCGAATTCAACGTCTCTATTATTTTCAATTTGATAGATGTTCAGAAAAAGTTATGAGAATTGAGAAAATCAGACGAGCTTCAAGTGTAATTTCCATTTTTCTCAAGTTGCCGAATTCCGATAAATATTCAGAATGCTCGTTTCGACGGTAATCTGTTTTCCTTCAACTTGAGTCTGGTGCATATTTGCGAATCATCAATCAACACAAGGGTACCTCCAATGAATTTTTCAAAATAGTGTCTCCATCTAATATAACAAATCAAATTGAAAGTAAATCATCAGGTATAAGAATTTGTACAGTTGAACAATATTGATCATAATTATTATAAGAAAAAAATTAAAGTTTGAAATTCTAATGAAAGTATACATTTCTTATTTCAATTTCAAAGTCGAAGAAAAAATATAGTGTTCAACATATGCCTGAAGGCGTTTACGTACTATTTTGATTTGTAACTATCTTCATAGTCTTTGCGATTGGCGTGATAACTTCTTATTTGTTCATCACTGATATAAACGATAATAATTGAGAAAGTATGTATATGACTCGGAGGTAACAAAACTACTTTTTTCATTTAGATTTTTTCTACCTGAAATCCAGCTTGGGCTACCTCATGTGCTCTCACAAGATGTGTTAGCTGGTTTGCTTTCAAAAATCTTTCCAGGGCTTCTACACTAAAAATGTGGGCTGTTCCTCTTCGCACATTGACTGCAAAACCCTCATTTGCCAATAACTCCATTGCCAGTTTGTCGTTCACAGTCTTGGGTCTATTAAGAAACTGGAATTATTACCAAATATTGTCCCATGTTAATTTCAGTGTGTAATAATCAATTTCTTGGATTCAGATTTTCAATCGAAAAAGTCTAGGGATATTTTTAAAAATGGCAATATTTTTTTTTAGATCGCTTTAGGGTAAAAAAAGTTGACGGGTAATTATTAAACGATTGTAACTTACAACAAAATTTATTAAATGGTCAAAAATACTGAGTGCGCATATAAGCAAAACTAAAAAAAATATGGCTCTTCTTTGGCACCCCGAAAAAAAATTGATATTTAGTATGTTATAAAAATATCCCTAGACTTTTCCGATGTGTGTATAATACAATAAAATCAAGAAACGCATACAAAATATAGAGAGTAAAAAATAATGATTAACACTGTAAATATACAGGTCGGTTTTTTTAGCTGATACCACTATTGCTATCTCGGAAACAGTATGTCGTACAAGGACGGTTAAATGGAACAAAAGCTTCCTTTTCAGAGATGCAACACAATGGTATTTTCCGATCCATAAAATCATCAACGGTTTGCAAAAAACTTAAAATGACAGATTTTATTTTTTTTGCTCTACCGCCTTCATTTTCAATAATATCAAAAAATGACAAAACACCTTTTTGCTTTAATTCATATGCTATATAATCTGGGCTTACTCCTTTTTCAATGCAACGTTTCGTTCATTGAATTCCATCATCAATATATGTTTTTTAAATACGGACCTGTATACTGTTTCATACATTTTTCGTAGTCATAATATTTAAAAATTCGTTGAGATGTCACATCTATATTTCCCGACGTTTCTTCCCGAAAACATATCATCACTATAATTTTTTATTGAGAGCTCGAATTTCCGAATGTTACTGAAATCTAGAGTTCTTCTGTCGATAATGTCGTTAGTTGGGATAATAAATATTTGTATTTACTGAAATCCAACTAAATTTCTGTCAGGGTCGTCTTGAAAAAGATGAAAATTTGTAGCTACCGAAAAAATTCTGTTCAGAAAATGAGGATATCAACAAGAATTAACAAATGAAAATACTGTATTGAAAAAGTCATACTCAGATGATTTTCACGAGAAACATGATAAGCGATAATTTCTTTTTTTTTAAGTAAGCCATGAAATACCTGAATGTGAATGTAAAATTTGACTGTGAATGAAATTTGTAAAACTTGTGGTGTGATGAAAGTACATTTACCAATAACGGATAGTTCAACAGGAATATACATTATCATTGGCGACAAGGAAATGAATATTTACATAGTTACCAATTTTCAAGAGAGATATGGTGTCAACGTATAGCTTGGTGTTCTTGATAATAAAATTATTGGCCCCCACTTTTTGTAACATCTCTGACCGAAGAAATATACTTGGATTTGTTATCAGGGACGCTAATTGAGTTATTAGAAGATTTGCCACTCAGCCTCATAAGAAAATATAAGCTCCAACACGACGGAGGAGAATCTGCAGAGATTTCCTCAATACAACTATGCCAGGAAGGTGGATAGGAAATAATGGTCATATTGAATGGCCACCACGTTCACCGGACCTTTCTCTTCTAAATTTTTCGTTGTGGGGCTTCATAAAAGATCAAGTAGACAGAACAAATTTTGAAAATATTGAAGAATTGAAAGATTCAATAAGGAGTACCTGCATCGGTATCACTCCACAGACGTTAGAGAACTGCTACAAGCACACTATTTCTATAGCAAGTATTTGTTTAAGAAATGATGGAAGACAATTTGAACATTTGAGGCGATATCGCGTGAGACGGTAACTTAAAACATGTGACGTTAGACATTCCGTTATGGTGTTCATTTGCTATAATTTATTATTTAGTTACATTTTCTTTCGCAACTGTCTTTTTTTTAATGTGATGTATTAACGATACTGTTAACTATGTGTTACAACAATAGTTTGATATTTGATTTCATATTTCTCTTATTGAGAAACGTCGAGAAATACATATGTTGTGATATGTCAACGAATGTGTAATCACAATGACTACGAAAATGTATAAAAACATATACAGGTCCTCATTTAAAAAAAATATATTGACGATGGAATTCAATGAAAGAAACGTTGCATTGAAAAATGAGTTCACCAAGATCAAAGAGCACATGAAATAAAGCACAAAGTTTCATTGTCATTTTTTGATATTACTGAAAATGGAGGCGGTAGAGCAAAAAAAATAAAATCTGTCATTTTCAGTTTTTAGCAAATATATCAGAAATCGTTGATGATTTTATAGATCTGAAAATACCAGTGTGTTGCATCCCTAAATAGGCAACTTTTGTTCCATTTAACCGTCCTTGTAGGATCTACCGTTTCCGAGATAGAAATAGTGGTATCAGCTAAAAAATACAGCCTGAATAGTGATCAATCAATCAATATTTGTCGAATGAAAGATACTTTCTTTGACATGCTAGAAAAAATAGTGCCTCGCGAGTTTTTAAAAGTACTATATCAATATTCAAAAATAAAATCCGTAATGTCATGACAAGGGTCAGGTGCCCTTCAGTTAGGAAGGTTCTCCAATATGTACGAGTTCGGTTCAATAAATGAGGTGAATGTTCAAATTTCGCGGGCTACATACATTTGATGAGTGATTTTTTATTTTTTCATGTTGGTACACTCGTCTCGAACATATGTCTACAGTTTTAGCTGTTTAGCAGGTTTGTTTTATTGGTGAGAGGCATAAAAGTAAAAAGTATTACGTGCTCAGCCATTTTCTGCTATCAAAAATTATGGATCAAAAAATTTGCATCAAATTTTTGTGTAAAAAATGGAATGAAGTGCTGAGAAACATTCGAAATATTGAATATTACTGGAATTTTTTCCCAACACCAAACCATTATTGTAACACGTCGACATGTGTTTCGATCACCAAGTCATCATCTCCAAAAAGAAGATTGAACAGTGAAACAAAAACATAATTTTATACAGCTACAATTTCAAAGTTCATGTTGCTATTTTTCATTTATCTGTGATCTGAATATAACAATAACAGAAACTGGTTGTTTCGAAAAATAATTTTTTGTGATCTTATAACTAATATCTGAACTCAAACTCACCTTACGGGATCATTCCACATCAACTCCCAAGCTAAAGAACTCTGGGCATCAGGTTGACTCAGTGGTACAGGAATATCATTTATGGCACTTATAACGGGACAAAGCCATGGTGGAGGAACTCCTCCATGACAACAGAATAACTGGAAAGATGTGATAATTTTAATTCAAATATGATATAATCGAAGTACTGCAATGAAATGATATTTGTGTGTAACCTTTCTAGAAAGGTCACGTCTTCCGTAAACCCTCTAATTTTGTGAAATACCGAAACAACACCCTATGCCACCAATTACTGACGAAATAAGTATTATGATCGTACTATCCCTTAGTTGCCAGTCTCACGAATTAAAAGAAATTTAAAGGAAATTTGGGTAAATTCGATACTTGTGACGTCAAAAATATATCGTTTTTCAAAAAGGTAACTTTTTTGGGCGCTTGCTTTGGGAAAAATACTCTAAAGAGAAACAAATAAAAAAATCCCGCCGTTTTCTCATTATTCTGGAGGTGACATTTTTCCAGGAATTACTATTTTCGCCTATTCTCAAAAAATTTAAGCCAGGGTTGAAAGAAACATTCTGAATGACGCACCTGTATGCACTAAACGATACACCACTTTTGATCAGTAATTCATTATATTTCCTTGACTAGCTTGGTAGTAGGTTTTTGTATTTATGGTGCATTTTCATTTCTCCGAACTTAGTTTTCTACTCGTAGTAGCAAACATTGCAACGGTTAGTGGCTTCTGATTCAAGATCATTTTACGTAGTGTTGAACTTTTTTAACATTCTTATGTAAATGAAAGCAGACTACAAAACAAAACATCCGTGCTCTAACACCAGACAGCACTATTTCGACCCGTCATAGGTCTCATCAGTGGTGGTAGGTTGAACCTAGCACCACTGGCGCTAGTTGCCTTGCAGTCAAAACTGCAGTGAAGGATAGGGGATAGCTCCGTTCGTTGATCGATGTGAAAGGTTTGCTATCTTGGGTAGTCTCATTTGTCATTGATAAGTGTCTTCGTAATGAGAGATGTAATCGCTTTCATTTTCCAACGTGACTCGACTCCAATTCGACTCATGATTGCCTTGATTGCTTTTGCTGTGAAACGTCTATAGCAGCACGACAAACCGATTTATGGCGACGCATGCCGTGGCAACGGGTCACCATGCGCAAGTGACTGTGCGATTCTCTTTCCAGTGGTTCAGCATTACGCTATCTCTCTCGTCATACTGAGCTCGAATACATATAGTGTATACAGTTGTGTTTACTACAGTTTCACTAAATAAATATTTGTTTCAATATATAAAAATAAAATATGTCTGTCAATGATAATTTAGAAAGTGAAAGTGAGCAATCTCCTGCAAAGGAAGCAAAACATACTATGACACATCATCAAGTCATCAGTGAGTTAATTATCACTACATAGTATAAAACTAAAGTAAAAAAATCGATTTCCGCTATATGTCCCTAGGTATGTTTAGATTGCTCGAAGAATAAGACTAAAATCGTATTCCAAAATCAGCTGATAGCGAGCATCGGACGAATGTTTTTTTTCATTTGTTATTACCAGGAAAATCAAAAAATTAATTTGTCAATAAATTGATGGATGTAGCCGTTAATGAATAAGTTTGAAAATGTCCTTATAGGACGAAACTGCAGTTTCAATTCTCTTTTCATAATTAATTTGTCAATAAAACATTCACTGATGTTGGAATTTGTATTGAAACATTTCATTATTGATGTTTATAATTTAAGATCTTTAGTAATATTTCGCAATAAATAGCTGATATTCTTGAGTTCATTAGTATATCAAAGTCACATTGAAATGTTTTCATGTATGTTCGAAGGTGATTGACGATGTTTCATGATGAATTTCACTAGTTTGGACTTCCAATGTCTAATATATAAAAGGATTTGAAATCCCTAAAACAACTAGAAAACAAGAATTAAAAATAAATAGCTGTACATAACAATTATAATAAGCGAAAAAAAAGAGAAATTAAACAAAAGTGAAATAAAATACGAGTAAAAACAAAAAAATTGAACAAAAAATAAAAATAAAGAAATACAAAATGGAAATAAAGATAAAAATGAAAAAGTTAAGACATTTCTAGCCAAGTTAGTTCACAATCGTCTTCGGGTGATGACTAGTTGTTTCAGGGATTTCAAATCATTTCATATATTAGACAATGGAAGGGCGAACTAGTGAGTTTTCATGTATATTTCAATTACATATATTTTATTATTATTTCAGTACCTAACAATCATCACAGGAGTCACAAAATATTATTATTGATGTTTTATATCTGCCAGGCGTCCCGTATGACGGCTCACATTTTCTTTCTTAATTATTCGAAGTTCAATTATACTTCACGAATTGTTATTTGCACATTTTACATTATATTTCCAATTTTATTGTTCATCACAGTTCAGATACTTCCATTTCATAATAATACAAACATCAACTTGCGATGGGTTTTATTAAATACTTACTTTTCCATCAATAACAGCTGCAACAGGCATTGTGTCGAAGGCATTGTTTACTGCCATCCACACTTCATTTCCGAGCTTCTCACCCATTTTCAGAATGCATTCCCTGATGAAAGACAAGTCATTTATCATCTGAAAGTAGTGTTCTAATAAATATTGATTACTCACTTATAGAAAGTAAACATCTTTTGTACTTCACGGATCTCATGATTTCCCCTCAACAGGTTAACTTTATTAGGGCTCTGCAACTTATAAGAAAATAAGTAGGATATAACTTCTATACTATATGCCCCTCTATCAACGTAATCCCCGAGAAAGAGGAGATTAGACGGACTCAAACCTGGACCAATATGCCAAAGTACTCTTTCAAAATATAGAAGATCAGCAACATTGCCATGTAAGTCACCTAAAACGAACGTAAATTTTGATTATGATTGGTATTGAATACTACTCGTATAATTGTTTTTTAGATGGGAACTTTTTTTAATCATGGAAATGAGTTCACTTCACATTCAGTGAATAATTCCATGTTCGAATTCTAATTTTATTCTGCTGGTAAATCATTTGTATTATCCAGTGAAAATAATAATATAAAGATAAAATTGTAGCAGTAGGGATTGAATTATTTGAATATCAACAATTGAACCATCCATCCATGTATTTTCAACTCCCTCAAAAATTTTAAATCATTTATCATGTATTATATTTGTTACTTATTTCATTTGTATTTTCTTATATCAGTTGATTATTCATCATCTTATGTATAAGTTGTTTGATAAATATCATAGATTGTTTGAGAATTAGACAGATGAAAAAATAATAACTCTCAAGCCAAGTCTTCAAATGCGAAATTGTTTAAATTCGTTTTTAATTTGCCTAAGTGTTTTACAATATTCTTTGATCAGATATTCGTCATTATTTATCATATATAACATTCTTTACAGTTATAGGGGGCTGTAGAGAATCAATCATTCCTCAGAGCCGTAGGGGGTATGGTCAGTTTGTTAGAAACTCAAGTTTCTAAATGCACAAAATGGAAGTTATAAATAACATTCTTCACTATTCTGCATTTTGTGAACGTTACATTTAAATATGCATATAAAAGAGATAGTACCTGGTCACGTAGTTCACAATGTCAACGGGAATGTCAGAGTATGTCAGAGTATAGAAATTTTTCATTCATCTAAAGAATAAATAATTCGTTATGAGTCTTTTGTCTTGTTGCAAACGAGTCGCATATGACGAGTTCATTCAAGACCCTAAATGACAAATCAATGGTGAGGGAAAATATACTAGTTCTAGTTCGGCGGAATGAAGTACTGAAAATTCTGTTTTATATTCAGTAGACACAATATTCTGGAGAGTAACCAAAATGTTTATCAAAAGATTTTAGAAAAAATATGAATGTAACAAGTACAGCAGAGCCAATTCAGGAGCTGATATCAACAAGCGTAATAGCTATAAATGATATGAGTGTTAAGAGTCAGGTTTTATTTTGTGAGTGAACAAAATAAAACCTACTTTTAATACAAATATCATACAAAGTTTTTTGTACAACGGTCCTGTTTTCATAATAAAATAGATATATTTGATATTTCTATAAAAACATATTTTGACATGTCTTGTCAGTTGAATATTTTCATGTTATCGCATTTGCTGTGAAGTGGCCGTGTCAGGTGAAGCCAAATAACCTGGTTGCCAACAAACAGTATTGTTTACAGTTCATGCGTTTCATTTAAAGTCACATTAAAAGTTATTTCTGGTGTTTAATGTCTTGCATAATGAAAATAATAGTTAGGAATTGTGTGTTCCTGACGATATTGAAGAGGCAGCAAAACGAGCTTCAATTGAATTGTTACCAAAAAAATCGCTCAGCCGTACAATATCGCTTATTCTAATTTTCTTAGCTGGTGTAGACTTGAAAACGTCGAAGGAAATTTCAGCGGAACCGCCTATCTAAAGGAGAAAACAAAAATAGTGATGAAGTCGAGTGCGCTTTTTAAAAATGGTGGTAATATAAGCAAATATTTCAAGGTAACAGCATTCTTAAAGCGGAAAAACTCTCACGTTCGAAAATGTCCAGAGGTTTATAAATGAGTAGCCAGATAAAAAATATTTGATGATGAAAGTTGATACTATTTTCGGAATATATGGAGCCTTCCGGCGTGAAGAGCTGTGCCATTTATTGATAGAAAACATTAAATTAATGGATAAATCATTGATTATTCAAATTCCAAATAAAAACACGAATATAGGTTATTCCTTTTGCATTGTTAGAAAAAACATTTTTATAAATACGTTGCATTACGCTCTTCTGTTATCACTCATCATCGTTTTTTCGGAAATACTAAAATCATAAATGCAGTGCCAACCCAATTGGTATGAACACATTTGAAAAAATTCCTTTCCCATTGCTGAGTTTTTGAACCTCCTGGAACCAAAGGAATATACAGGTCACTGTTTCAGAAGATCATCTGCTTCTTTGCTAGCAGAATCAGGAGCAAATATAACGGATATTAGGAAGAACGGAGGATGGAAGTCTGCAAAAGTAGCTGAGGGTTACATCGATCAATATATTTCTTATAAAAAGGCTATTGCTGAAAGAGTAATCCCAACAGCTTACTCCAACGTTACAGCATCCTCCTCTTCACTTCAAGAATTAAATGAATTGACAAATCAGATAGTTCAAATATATTACAAGGCTCTTCAACATCGCAAGGTATTAATATCAGCAGTTGTTCTAATTATACTTTTCATATTAATGTTCATAAATAATAATAATGTAATTAATGTATATAATACATTTGTAACAGAATTTATTTGTATCTATATCTATTGTTCATAATAAAACGTTCTTGAAAATTCAATAATTATGTTTTTTTTACTATTTGGTCGAAAAAAATCGAGTGTTAAAAGTATTTTCAACACTGGTGTTGAAAATATTTTTAACACACTACTTTGTAAACATCATATTTTAATACTTGCGAAAACCATTAAAAATGTCACTTACAATGACACAACACTGGTTTTGAAAATATTTTCAACACGCTACTTTGTAAACATCATCTTTTGATAGTCTTGACAACCATTGAAAATGTCACTTACAATGACAGTTGTACAAAATAAATTTATTTTGCATTTTCATTTAGTACCGGCCAAATCTGTCAGGCTAAACTTGCATGACACCATAGCTTGGAACGAGTGGTTATAACCAAGTCACAAAAAATAATTGAGTTTTGTGAACAACTAAGTGACAAACGTCATTCAAAAGTGAAGAATTTTCAGCAAGAGTGAAATATCCCCTAATAGTAGCTGAATGAGAGGGTAATCGATTTTGATATTATGAAACAGGCGAATTTCGCTAAAATATCAAAGAAATAATTCTTAAGATCAATAACGAAGATATTTGATTTGGAATTGAAAGTAGTTTGAACCGATTGTTTTTGCCTGGGGTCTTTTGAATTATGCAGAGATTTCTTACAAAGAAATAGAAAAAGAGGCATTAGTTCCCATCTTCGATGTATACAAATATCAAATATAAATACATCTGATGTCCAGTGGCGTAGCTTTAGGGAGCCACGGCCCCAGGCGGCAGAAAGCGCCAATTTATTGATTTGGGAAATGTAAAATAATACTCAGATATTCGAAATCGCCGCGCAATGTTATGTACGTGCCCAGTGAAAAGGTAAGTTAGCGTGCGAAAGAGAGGCGGCGAAGGAGGTGGAGTCGAATGCAGCGGAAGTGGAGACAACCGCACTATGTCCATCTTAAAATTAACAAATTTAGCCAATCCTGCCATAGAAAACGATATAAATGTTGATATGGATGGTTGTGTGAAGAACTATGCGTTAAAAATAGCACGTGTAAAGTAAATTTTTTGATCACATTTTTGTGCAAACAAATACTCTAGCTTAGGGATTAGTGCAAGTTTTATAAAAATAGTTTGACGGATTTACCTACTCAATCCAACTTCATCTCAATTTCAGTTATAAAATCGTTGAATCCAGGCTGAAGGTAAGGCTCATATTTGGCGGCATGAAAATTTGGAAGATATTAAAAAATGTATAATAAATGTTTCAAAAAACCAGATGGAATATGAATCTCACAACGAATCAGATGAAAGTGGGGACCAAAATGTGGACGACTTTTTTGATTTCACGGATTCCCAAGATAACCAAGAAGTAGGCACTGTAGGCAGTAGTAGTACTATGAACGAACAGGGTACTGAGGGTATCAGTGAAAGTAGCAATAAAACTACAAAAATTCAGCTGGAATTATTAAGATATCTGAAAGACAAAAGAACGAATTTACAAGTATTACATGAATACCCAATATTAAAAAAAGTGTCACTCAAGTATATACATGCTTACCTTCGTCAGTACCAGTAGAGAAACTTTTTTTGCAACTATGATTGATACGCCAATGAGGAAAAATTCAAGTGATGAACACTTTGAGGTATTGGTACTGACGAAGGAAAATTCAAACTCAAAGGTACCATTATAGATATAAGTATCACATCTAGCGAACAATGTGGTAAAAGCTTAAAATATATTTTTTCACTGAAATGTTCTTTGTTTACAAAATGAATATACACAGTTTTTTGAGTTTCTTTATTTCCTATCTTTTTTTATCACTTTTTGTTTTTGATATTCATCCCTAGTATTTTCCCTTGTATACATTAAAACACTATTTTAACTAACAAGTATCCGTAAAAGTATCCGAAAAAAGTATCCGAATACATGTATCCGAGTACATTTTTAGGTGAAAGTATCCGTAATTTTTTAAAAAGTATACATTGAAAGTATCCGTATACGGTATTCTGATCCTTTTTTCCTGTATCCGACCCAACTCTGAATTTTCATATGTAAACTCTCTCCTTTTATCCCCACGAGTGGAATATTTGAAAATGTTTTCTTAGTGCGCATCTACGACCTAAGAAGCACTTATATTTGAAAAGAACTGGCCGATACCTAATGAAAATCCATATTAAAACTCATTAATCCAGTTCACTGTATGATTTTCACTATAAAAGATTTTACAAAAACCGCGACACGTGTTTCGCTACACAATAGCTTTCACAAGCGTGAAATAATAAGTTACTGCTATACCTGACCCTTTCAGGTAGATTCATTCATTAGGGAGTAGGCATTCAAGTAAGTGATATGTTAGAGTATAAAATACTTGTAATTTTGAAGTGGGTAACTCTTTGTTTTACGCTTGAGAAAGCTATTGTATAACTAAACACGTGTCGTAGTTTTTGTAAAAGCCTTTATAGTGAAAATCATACAATAAACTGTATTTATGAGTTTTAAGCACCTCTATACAACCTAGTAAAATCTGATGGAAACTTCAAAAATATAAATTTTCAATCGACTCACCCATAATATAAATAGGTGAACTCAGCTCAAGTAATCTTGATTCTACTCTGAATATTTCCCGAACTTGATTACAAATGTTGATGAGATTTCTTCCGAACATAACAGTATCGAGTTGGCCCCACGTGTAGCTAGCTTTGGGATCCTTGATTTTATTTATTGAAGTTAAATATCTCAAACTTTTCAATACCTCATTGGAAACAGATCGCTGACTGAACAGATCCATTGAAATCCTCCGTGTTTGTTCATTCACGGGTTGTTTCAATGTTGTCAATGAAACGGCCTCTGGAAAACGATAAATCGATGACTTTCAGAAATTAAATAGAATGAGCAAAAATGTTTCTCAGAGACTAATGATGACTCACTGAAAAACGCTCGCTTAGAGCGTTCCATTGATGTCACTCTTCAAGTCCCAAAATTGAATACTATATGGCAATAGGATATATCTGTGAGGTTATTAAAGAGATTTAAATTACGATCTATTCCTCCGATCCAAGTGTTTATCATACATTTCGTATAGGCACAAATTTTTTCCGTTTCAATTAAATTCCATACGATTCTCATGGTTGAACTTGGCTTCTCTGATTATTCTCTGATCATTTGCATTAGGTACACTGTCATTTCCACACATATTTTTCGAGTGTGATGCTTTTTTTCTTAATGTTCTTGTATTGGAAAGAATATACCTTTCTTTTTATGTAGTTAAGTAAAGTGATTTTATCTCTAAACAAGTGTTTGCTCACTTATCAAGTAGGTATTATTTATGCAAAAAAATTGTATTTGTTGTATACATTTTGTCTCTTTTCATTAATAAATGATATTATTATCATTCAACTACTCATTAGGTAGATTTGAAGCTGAATGAAAAAGTTGCATATTTTTCTCGTATCTGCGAGAAAATTAAGTTGGATGTAAAATTCTTGAACGTATGTCATAACTTCAAATTCATGGAAGTAGACAATGGTGAGACATATGAAATAGATATTGTATTTGATGTTATTCGAAACGACACACATGACTTTTTTAATCGATTTTATCGTGAACCTACTAAAAATAGCCAAATTGCCACTTCAAAGATGGTCCAGAAAAGAATGAACCTACGATATTTTCACATAATATTGAAAAAGAAGTTTCTTCGATATTTACAAAAATACGTGTTTTTTATGCTATTTAATTTGAATTGGTTTGTGTTAATTATCATTTTGTTGCTCATCATTGGAAATCAGTAAGATTTTTTGTTTTATTAACCATTTTTTTTCGCTGTAATTCAAAAACCGACTAGATGAAATATTGAAGCCATTTATCATTATGAGCTCCCATATTTGACATACAAACTCGAGTAAAAATCTTTGAGAATTTCGGTGATATTTTCCCATAATCGTACTTTTAAATTTTTTTCATCATTATGTCAATTGTATTTGTTCCCCTTTTCCAGTTGTTATTTTTCATTCCATTCCAATCAAGGATTTTGGGCATGGAATAGTGGGAAACTCAGATCAAAGACTATTTGTTGAAATGGTTCATACTGTCTGGAAATTATCTAGAAATTACATTAGGTGTAGAAGTAACTCAATGTTCATATCCAACCTGTTTTTTGATAAAGAATATCTTTGACTTTTGTTCTCAGGTAATGAACCACAATTCACTCATATTTCGACACTTTGTTTTCTCTGCTATCATACGTTTAAAATAATATTTATTTCCATGACCTTTTTCCGTAATTCGATGATTTCAAAACAACTTCTATATCAAAACCGTAAAATGTTTCATTTCAACATTTCCACTTTGTTCTTGAACCATATCAACTTCCAATTAATTCCAGACTTTTTTGAAATCTTCAGGTTGCCAGTTTAAGGACCAATTTGAAGGATCGAACTCTTCTGTCTTTCATTGCTGGGGCATTGTCTATGTAATCAGTTAAATTCAATTGACAAAAGTTATTCCCTATTAAGTATAAATACCCCTGAATCACAGTTTTTCAGAACCTTTTAATGACAGGTGAATTTATAACTTCTTAAAATGAAATTCAAATATTTCTTGTCATTTGCTCACATTTCAACCTCAAAACCCCATTTTCCTATCAAAAATTCTTCAAAATTTCGAATGTATACATAAATCCTAAGAAGACGCAATCCAATAACAAGGAACGCCAAACAATTAATCTACAACACTCGGAAAATTTCCAAACATCACTTTTTCTTATTTCAATTCGAGAAAACGTTGAACATTTTTTTTTGAAAGATGAGTTTTGCAAGAGGCGAATAAATAATGAAGACATTCGATATTATACGTCATCATGATAGGAACATTTCTTGGGCGGCGATTTTTGACTTCAAAGTTGAACTACCATGAAAACTGAATATTGAACTTCACTAACATGGTCTATATCAAACAGATTAGACTATTGCTATTATATTATAGCCTCGACCTTCAATTTCGTTATTTTATCAAATTATCATCAAACTCAAGTCATTTGCCCAGCAGAATTTCAAAAGTTATGGATCTGCACACAATTCAATCACTTGAACTTGGTGCACTCGATACATAACGCTTGAATACTTATAAAACGAAAAAAGCAGTAAGTGGTGGATACTTTCACTAACAAACGATAATAATGAATGAATAATACCTTGAATTAGTTTCATTTCGTCTATATTGATAGCCTGTCCACTTTTCTGGATTTTCACAGTATGTACAGCCACTTCATAGTCTACATTTTTGGTTTGGACAGCAGGCACTCTACCTTTTAGATCTAAAAATATTCAATGATTATTTTCCACTGTGGAAAGAAGATTCTCAGACTTGTAGGATGAGGATCCTCATCATTGCAAAAATATACAATAAAGCCATATACAGGCCATTTCTTTTACATGTGGGAACATTGCTATATTCCAAACCCTAACAGATGAAGACAATTAAATAATAAAAAGGTGAATATCGTGGAGAACAGTACAATGGCCAAGAAAAATTCACAGGGACTTTAGGCCTTCTCAAGTCATACAGGGAAAACTCATAATGCTGTTTTTCGTTTTTCACCAAAAGAATTGTTATTTCAAAAAAAAATATGGAAAGATGAAGTTTCATTGTATCCGAAATGTACTATAACGGTGTAACAATAAAACTTTAAATAAATGTTTCGTGTCAACACGGCCACCATCAACTTTTTTTTCAAATACGGACCTGTCTTTTTCACTACAAAATATCAATTAAGCGTTGAAATCACAATTCAGTGGAATACATTTGACATTTTCATAGCATTTCATTCGAAATAACAAGCATCATCAGTGAAAACAATTTTCAATTACGGTCCTGTCGTTAGTTCTTTTGTAGAATGTTTTGATTTTTTCCAAAACGTATTCAACTATTGGCATGTCTCAGACATTATTAAATGACTTCGATAAAAAGATATCTCAACATAACAAAAATTCGTATTTTTCTTTTTTGTAAATTTTTGTGTTACAGTAATCCTTGTTTTCCGGCTGATTTCTCCTGAATAAATTTTTATACAGATCATTTTTATAATTCCAAATACTGGAAAAAACAAAAGTGCTGGTTTTTGGTCAAAATACGATCATTGTGTAATTTGGTCGAATGAAATATCATCTCACTTAATTTACCATTTTAAAACGCGTAGGCTTTGCTGGCTTTTCATGAAAAAATAAATGGTTGATATGTGTTAAGACTGTCAAAAGTTAGTGGTTACGTATTGAAGATCTGTTTAAACAACGAAAGGACTTATATGCCATTCACTTTTTTAAAATGAAATAGAAATAATCTTTTGTCAAGAAATAAGTATGCTACATTTGACAGAAATTAAACTAGAAATGTGAGAAACCAAGTGTTTTGGGTTAGCAAAGATTACCTCATAAAAACTAACAAAGTAGATTTTTTTATAATATAGGATTGGGAATTTTGAGAACGAACATACTAGGCCATTTCTTTTACGCCGATCATTCGACTGGTGAAATGTATCAATATATTTTATCTCATGAGTTTGATAAAAAAAACGGCCTATTTGAATTCCAATATAATAAGTTATGAATGGACTGAGCCGTTACTTGATGAAAATCAATAACACTCTCTAAAATGATAATTACACTTTAAGGGGAAACTCCTGTTTTCAAACTAGATAAATGAAAACTGATGGCTGTGTCTGAGGATCAAATTTTATGGCAAACCTAATGTTGCAAACCGCCCATCGATATATATCATCGTTTCTGTCTTAGAGCATGTTATTTTAGAGAATGTGCAGTTTCAAAAAGTTACTGTAACTTTTTTCCTGTCAAAAATTTCTTGTTTCGATGAAAACCTTTCCCAAAAACTTTTTCACATAGAATTCAAAGGTGTGAAAAACTCATTTTTTCAAATGAGATATTAATAGTTATTGATGGAAAACTAAGCTTAAAATTATTTTTCCAAAAATGTAGCACACTTGATATTTTGCTTAAGTCATCTTTGAGAAATATAAAGCTTTCAGGTTTCTTCATGTAGACTTTGAAGGCACACTTATGAAAAATGGAATATGATAGTCAGTTTTATACAAACCGGAGAAAATGCAGAAGCAGCAAGCAATTTGTTTCATGAGAGGTATCCAGAAAAAAGAAAACCTTCTAGAGACATTTTCTAACGATTACGACTCAACCTAATTGATGTTGCACAGTTTGAAAAAGAAAGGATAAATTATATAAATCAAATGGGAATAAGGAGTTCAGGAGCGAAATTTGAAAATATCGAAGATCTAACGTTAGGAGAATTTAAAAAAAAAACATGAATCCATCCATACAGGAGCCGAAAAGTTTATCGTATCGGACCAGGAGATTTTGAATGCCGCATAGCTTTTTACCAATGGTTCCTGTGAAGTTGTAACCGAGTGTGTGATTTTTCTCAAATTGTATTTGAACAGAAGAAGCTTTTGTGAGCAGTACCGACATTTTCAACTGCTACAATTTTAATACTCAGACACAACAAAATCCTCATTCTATTGTGGAGCCGACGAATGAAGAAAAATTTGGATTAAGTATGTGGGCAGGTGTTTTCAGGGGTAGAACTATGAGCCCAGCACTCATTTATAATGGCACTCTCTCACATGTCAGAGGTATTTAGAAATTTCAAGGCAAAATATTGAACCCATTGTTGATGACTTGTCTAATGGAGCTCAGAAAAATATATTTCCAACAAGATGGGGTTCGCCTCACAAATTTTGGAAATAATTGCATAGCCAACCAAGGGCCCAGCCGTTGGCTGGCCAGGTCACTAGACCTAGCGCCTATAGATTTTTACCTCTGCGGAAGGTTGGAAGATCGTATTTTCAAATTGCCGACTAATTTCAGATACGAATTGTAAGCGGCAGTGATCCAAAATTTTGGTTCTCTCACTTTCATTGAACTAATTAATTCGGCAAAAAACGTTCAAAAAAGGTGTCGCCTGTGCGTAGGAGAAGCTGGTAGACATTCCGAACACCCTCTCTGAAGGAATATATTTCATTGTTTGTTCTTTATCATTATTATTATTGTTGAAGTTTCACTTATTAGTAGTAAATATCGTATGATTTGTTTTCAGTTTTATTGAAACTATGCGTTTTTATTACTTTAATCACTGGTGTGAAAAGCTTTCCCAACATTTGAAAACTACTACTGAACAATTTCTTTCTGTTTTATCGCCGCGTCGCGTCGTCCAAAGCCTATTTGAAGCCTACATGAAAAAACCTTAAAGTTCTTTGTTTTAAAGATGACTCTAGCAAAACATCAAGGGTTCCACATTGTTGGGTAAATCATTAGAAGCTCTATTCAAATATACAGGGTTCCTATTGAAAAAATTTTTCTCATCGATAACTATTGATATCTCATTTGAAAAAAATAAGTTCTTCACACCATTGAATTCTACGTAAAAAGGTACTATGGAAATGTTTTCTAAAAGAAGAAAAGAAAAAATATTTTTGACAGGAAGAAAGTTACAGCAGCTTTTCGAAAATGCACATTTTCGAAAAACATGGTGTAACTCAGAAACGACAATAAATATCGATATGCGGTTTTCAACTTTGAGTTTGTCATAAAATCTGACCGTCAGACGCAGCCATCAGTTTTCGTCTATCTAGTTTGAAAACAGGAGTTTCTATTCCAAGTGACAAATTTGGGCCACTCTGTACAACTGGTTCCTACCCGCGACGTCCTTCACAAGTTTGATTTTTTTTTTAGATTCTCATTTTTGTATGTATTTGCCTATCTTCGATTCTTGAGAAAATCATTTCACAAACTTTAAATACAGGGTGTAACATAAGTACGTTGAAATATTCAAGTGACGTATTCCTGACACAATTATAAGAAAAAAAGTATGTATGAACTTGTGTCCGAAAATGCTTCGTTTCAGAGATACGGGCTGTTGAAATTGATTTTTTTTGTTCGCGGTTTGAAAATAACTCTTGCAAAAATAAGTTATTCGCACAAAATTCGGTACCAGGGGTTTTTAATGTGAGAAATCATAATTTCGTATTAATTTTCATAAAACATCTAGAGAACGCTGCGTACGCTGTCATTATTTATTTCAAATTGCTCTAACTTTTTTGGCAGTGAACTTTTGGTACTTTTCATGAAAAAACCTAATTCCCACACTTTTTCTAAGTAAAAAAGGTACACTTTCTGAACAACGCTGGAGGTGATCGTTTTCGAGATATTTACAATTGTCTATATCGATGCATATTACTTTATAACCAAATTTGATTTCAATACTTTTTGTCACTCTCCGCTTGCAAATTAAGTTAATTAAATCGAGTAGGCTATGAAAGTTTGTTTATAAAAATAGAAGTTCGCTGTCACATTTTTACCTATTAACATTTAAATATGGAACATATACCAATTACCATTAATTGCGCCAACAAATTCATACCACAACATAAATTTGAAAAATGGTGTCTATATCTAGCCAACTGGGACAAATTCTCCGCTACAATAGAAAATTTCACACCAAATCTTGGAGACATCAATTCACTAGTTGAAAATATCACTAAAGCGATCCTAGAAGCAGCCTATAGATCAATACCGAAGACCAAAAATAGAACAGCTCAGAGAACGGAGAAACATGCCTACAACATATTCAAGGAAAGAACCACACAAGATAATATGATCAAACGTCTGCGTGCGACAGTAAGGAATCTGAAACTGAATAGTCGAAGTGAAAGCTGGAAACATTTCACGAGCTCTATTACCGCAGACACATAACTAGCTGAAATATGGAGCAAAATCAGAAGCATTTCTGGAAAGAACTTCTTTCCGTTGCCTATTCATATCATCCAGGACCAACAAGACATAACAACTCCAGAAGAAATCTCTGAAATTTTTATTGACCACTTTCAACACATCATCTCATCAGAAAACTATGATCCCACATTTCTTGATATCAAAGAGGCATACGAACAAGACAAAATAAATTTTCAGACAGAGGAGTTGTATGATTACAACTCATCTCTCACTATGGATGAATTCAGGGAAGCGCTAAGCACAGCAAAACCTTCGACATCTGGGCCTGACAAAATCCACTACGAATTCCTTAAACATCTCTCTCAAAAACAAAAGATGAACATTTTACACATTTTCAATGTAATTTGGTGTACAGGAACATACCCTGAAGGATGAAGAGAGGTTCATATTATTCCAATTCAGAAACCTGGTAAAGATCCCACCTTCCCTGAGAGTTACTGCCCGATTTCGCTTACCAGCTGTCTAAGTAAGTTGTTGGAGAAAATAGTAAACAACAGTCTAACCTGGTGTTTAACGTATTTATATTACACCCTGTATAGTTAACCAAAATCCAAAACAAATCAACTGAACAGTATTTTTATGGTATTTTTCCAACAAATTGACGTCATTCATTGAACTGGCTCAACTTTGTTATTTGTGAAACGATGTGATGGAATTGGACGACATTTGATGAAAGTCAGTAACGTATTCAAATAATACTTTATTGTGAGCATTTCACTAAACCGCAACATTTGTTCATTCGTATATAGTGAAACTTATGTGATGATTTTGTATACTGTTCAGTGAAACTCTCACAATAAAGTGTCACCTACCCCAAACTAGTGAAAACCACCCCCGAATATGTTGAGCCGTTTTTGAAATTAGTGCGCACAATCGCACAGACAAACAGACAATTTTTTCAATAATTGTGTTCTATCATTAAATACCCCCATTGACAGGTTTTCCCAAATATTCTTCATATATAGAGACAGCGATCAGTTACACTGCTATCATAAATATTAATGATAGGTTGAAGTCCGATTGTTAGTTTCATCAATTACAGTTACTAAAATTATTTTGAAAATATGGCTGAAAAATCCTTTCTGTGCTGAGTTTCTATATGATATAATCAAATGTGCCTGTTGTTCTGCTGCGAAATACTTACTTTCTGTCAAGTTTCGAGCTGATACCATATCCATTTTTACTGCACTTTTTTCACTAAAACAAATATTTATAATTAGGTCACTTAGCTTTCTCAAAAGGAAGATTAAACTTGAAGATGATCACTTGGTGATCGAAACACGTGTCGAGGTGTTAAAATAACAGTTTGGTGTTGGAATGAAAGTCCAGTGATATTCAAAATATTGAAAAATTAAAATCAAATGTATATCGGTGATAAAACAAACAAAAAAGTAACTAGAATTCGATTTCAAGTTGAAAATTTCAAATCAAATTATTCATGATTCAAAAATGGAATTAGCTTCAATTTCTCCAATATTCCAAATTTGAGAAACCTCTCAGATAATAACAGTTTCAATCTCAATCTTTTTAGATGTCTGTATAGGAAACAAAGAAAAAAATACTGATATAACGTGTAAAGTTTTCTGTATAAAATCAAATGGAAGAATCGGACTCCTGATCTTTCCGTCCTTGGAACAGTACTTATTGTGCCCCTGCCGTTGAGCACCTCACTCATTATTTCATGCGTTATTATCTCCAAAATGTTATTTTCATCATGGTGCTCCATAACAATGTATGGATCAACAAGCGTGACAAATGGCTCTCACCATTTTCCAGTTCCTAATCCACAAGGTGCTTCTAAATTTCAGTTTACGCTTTAGGAAGCTATTGTATAGTGAAACACAGGTCGCGGTTTTTGTAAAACCCCTTCTAGTGAAAATCATACAATAAACTGTTTTAATTAGTTTCAATATGAATTTTCATCAAGTATCGGCCAGTTATATTCAATTATATCGTAAAGATATTATAGAGTTTTAGTTTTAATTATATTATGATATGAGAATGCAGTGTGAAGCAACCTGCGGTTATCCAAATTAAACTTACAGAATACGAGGGATCCTTTCATATTTCCGAATTCCGAAAATCAACCTCAGACATGAATTTTGCACTTTTTGAATCTTTCTGTCACTTAAAACCGTTACAACTGGACCATATACTCGTAGACAATGCGAAATCAAAAATAGACAAAAACAGTCTCTCGCCTAGCATTGGTTTGATTTTACAAGATGAATATTGTCTATTACCATAAATGAGTTTCAAAAAATCATATGCTATACATAACAGATTTTTCTCGTGTTTTTCAAAACGAAGATTCTCACCGATGAAAATTCCTAGATTTTTGGCACAGACAACTACTTGGAGTACATTTTAACATATCATTGGTGTATTTGTAGTTGGTCAAAATTTTAATTGAAATAAATTCAAATTATTGTTACAATATTTTTTCATCAACCCAAAACTTCAGGTTTCCAACTTCAAAACTGACGAAATTCATTACAGTCTTCGAACCCCTATTTTCCCCCTTGGGGGTGGAAATTCCTTGATCCTTTTCCTGATGCTTATTTAGGCTATACAAAGAACCAACCTGCATATTTCAAGATTCTAGGTTCAGTAGCTTCGGCTGTAGGTACGTTAATATAAGAGCAGGCAACAGCTAGTAATTTATATTTTTTCTTTAAAAATGCAGTAACTAAAAATATATGCCAACTTCACTGCACAAGTAATAAATAGCTTCGAGAATCGATTATGTTACCTATAAATAAATTCGCAAAACTAACACAACCGTCAACGCGTTCGAGTCTCGTTCTCGGGGATGGCACTTCATTGATTAGACTGCCCCTCTACCCATGCGCATCGTCCCCTGTCGTCTTACAGTAGACGCGACACGTAATGGCTTACTGCGTTGCATCAAGATAATTTTATCATGATAACTTTTGAACGATCCATTCAAATTATTTAGTGTAAAAGACAGAGTTTATCTATATTAAATATTTAAAACGACAGTTGTATCAATTTTTATAAGAATTTGACAGATATTCTGAAATGTGCATTGTAAAAAAGTATCCAATTCGATTGTAATCATATAGTGGCATATAGTGACTATCACATAAAAGGTAGATATGTGCTATCGCGGCTTTCATTTAGAACTATTTATGGTAAACAATCTTACGGTACATCATAAGTATGTATCTCCAATGTTATAGGTAGCGCACGCCAAGCTAGCTCTCAGAGAGCAAGGTTTTTTCCCACTTACTCAATACTTATCGTTATATTATGACCAAAATTAAACAAAACCTTTGTGAATTGTAGCCTATATGTCATTTTGATGTGTAAGCTGTATTTATGTAAACTTTCATCTGAATCCGTTCAGTCGTTTAGGCCACAAACATACATATATACATCCATCCCCACAATTTTTCACATTCATATTAGTATAAGTAGATTACTGGATAGTATTATGTAAACTTCCAGATAAGGTTCCTATAGAGACATAGATATATACGTAGACTCAGACTACACACAAATTACATAAAAATATACGTATCAATATTTATATTTCCTTGAAATGCTACGGACACATATTCGAAAACTCGTGTTTGTGCTGGTAATATATTGAATAAATCAAATCTTAAAGAATTTTTGTTCAACATAAACAGTCTATGCCTGGGTCTCTTAGGTAAATCTCCCGACTTAGTAAGATAGCCATTTCCCATAACTTGGGTATCGTAATTAGCTTGCTGTTCATGAATATATAAAAGTGTGAAATATATTTTTGTAGAGTCAAAATCCCATCGACATGGCATGAGTTTTTGCATAGTAAAATGTCATATGTTAATTGACTATAAAATGAATTGAAATACGTTGACTTAGGAAGTCCAAGCGGACTGAGAGTTTCACTCCATCCGGATTAAAAAATTAGCACTGCGTAACTTCTCATCTAATGAGTTAATATGATGTGACCAGTTCAATTTGTTTTCTATTATAATGCCCAGCAAAGTAACATTTTCACCCTTAGTAATATTGGAGTGGGAAAATACAAACAATTGTTGATTTTTACTCGAGTTTAGCTTGGGTCTCTTTGCGGTGAACCAGTACTGTGCCCTCTCTAACGAAAATAAAACACTTCTTATCGGAAACATCTCGCATTCACTTGTACCAACAATATCATTGAGATGAAATGAATAGTATAATTGAATATAATCTGCATATACGTGCATTCGACAGTACTTCGTATGTTAAACAATTTCACTCGAATATAAAGTGAAGAGAATTGGTCAAAGAATAGAACCTTGGGGTACATATCAGAAATATGCGATGGAGTGGCTGACCATCGTTTTGAGGTTCTACTCAATACATCTTGAATTCCACTGTTCAAGAACTCTTTCATTTTGAGAACTGCGTTTATGTAAAATAAACTTCCTGAGAACGTTTTTCCAAATGGATTTAATCTCTAGCGAATCAAACCCACTGTCAATCACTACTTTCGCACAGGCACCGCCCTCAGAGCGCTTTAAGGATTTTCCTGTAATGTTTGTGTTGTCCTTAAAAATAACACGTATTAGCGATACTACTGCTACTAGATTAAGTAATTTTTTGAATTAAGAAACGGTAATAAAGAAGTGAACGACGTCTTACGTCTTAGATAATGAGTTGGTATATGTTGTTATAAAAACGTATCACAAAGTTGATCATTTCAGAATGATAATGTACAAAAATTATAATAACTTCAGTTATGATTCATTTCACTTTGACCTTTCGAGAATCCCATTTATCCATATTTTATACTCAGATAATGTCTGTGAAAAATTTTTTTTTTGTTTTTAGTTCATTTGATAATTATTCAATAACTGGGAGTTATTGTAAGTTATTGAACGTTGCTGGGGCTAATAAAAGACGTAACCTACGTAAGTAAGATACGGAGGAAGCCAGAAAGCACTTTGAGTTCATAACAAATAAGCGTAATATGCTGATCGTGGCTTTCCTAAAAGATATTTTGAAATATTAAAATGCGCTCCACACGGAATCACAAGGAAATGGAAAATTAATATGTGATCTGATACAAAGCGTGTCTGCTTTTCGTCGCAAACTGGATATCTTTGAAAAAGATATTGCGAGACAAGAATTTCTTCATTTTCCGACAATTCTTGAATATAAAAAGAACTCTGAAGAAGACATTGCAGTATTTGTAGAATTTCTGCCCGATCTTAGGAACGAATTTGCTACAAGATTCCAAGACTTTGCAGAGATGAGCAAGCTATCCGTTTCTCAAATCGCCATTTGATGTTGATGTAGCAGCAGAATGGACAGATGTGGCTGCTCAATTGTTTAATCTGTCAAAGGCATTACTTCAAATAGAGATAATTGATTTGCAAGAAGATGTGTCTTTGCAAATGTATAACACGGTATCCACTGAAGAATGTTGGGCCTGACATGTCCCAGAAAAATATGAAAATTGCAAAAAACTAGCTATAAATTTGGCCACTATGTTTGGCTCGACATACGTATGTGAAACATATTTCTCAAAGATGAATTTTTTGAAAAACAAATAACGAACGCCAACCTAGAAGACACACTTTGAATTTGCTGTTCCTCTCGAGAACCAAACTATAAAAAACTGGCTCAACACCGTGGTTGTAATTTTTCACATTAATTTTAGGTATTGTGTTTCATGATACAGAATTACATTCGAAACCAAAATGATACATAGGTAGCACTCAATTTTCATCAGTTGTTTTTTTGGACCTTGTCAAAATTTCACCATAGTATCCGAACCCCACCTAAAACTACTTGCCGACCCCTGAGTTGAATGCAGTATCATCACTCAGAGCATATTTAACGGAAAGGCAGCAATTGGTTCATATCGATCGTAACTAATGTGACCGCTTCTCATTGAAATCAGGTGTACCCCAAGATTCTATTCTTGAACCAATTCTCCTCACTCTATATACAAGTGAAATTGTTTAACATACGAAGTACTGTCAAATGCGCACCCATGCAGATTATACGATGACAGATATCGATATGCATTTTTCACTATTGAGTTTATCATAAAATTTGCCTATCTAGTTTGAAAACAGGAGTTTCCCTTCAAAAGTGTCCAATTTGGCCCACTCTAACCAATTGAGCCACATTTATGAGCAGTGGGAATTGTATACGACAGAATGTACCGTAGAGTTGAAGTCAAATTACTTGATTTTACCTGGAATCTTTAAGATATTTGATTATCCCAACGTTCGACCTGAAAATCGTTGAAGTCCCTCTAATTTTCAAATCACATATAGCTTTCAAGAAATCCATCACGTTTATAGGTGTAGTGTCAGGTATACCCATAGCCCTACAAATTAAAAATAGTTCTCATAAATATACATCATTCCCATTCATGAACTGAAATGACCCACTTCGTAAATTTGTTTCAAACCCACTGAAATATTCTGACTGCAATCCTTAGTACAATAAAAAAGTTCTCGAGATATAGGCATCAAAATATTCTTGAAGTCATATTTTACTTCTTTCTTCTTTCGCCTCTGACATTTCAGATAAGGAGATATAGAGAAGAGACAGTTAGACAAAAAATGTCCTCACCCAACTTAGGCATGTGACAAATTATGGAATTCCAATCGAGTACTTAGGTACTCACTCTATCAAATTACCTCAAACATTTACCTAAGGTACATCTTCATTTATGATTACCTAAAGCATATTGTATCAATTATACATCAATAATAATACTTCATTGGTTTTTAAGGAAACAAGTTCAATAATGGTGATCTATTTGAATCAAGTTGGTCGTTCATTAGATTGTTTGGGTTTTCAAGTTTATTAATTGCAACTGCTTCCAAATGATTTAGCTTCAAACCTTCAGTTTCTATGTGTGAAATTTCGAAATCTACGTTAAATATATAATTTTCTTCTAAAAGATAATTTGAATATGTTGAACTTGTTTTCTTATTTACATAGCTCACATGTAAATAGATACGATTCCTGAATGTTCTGCCAGTTTGACCAATATATATCTCAGGACAAGTACCACACTTCATTATTCATACTCCTGATTTCTCGAATTTGGATGTTTAGTGATATTTTTTTTAAATAAAGTTTATGGAGATCAAATCGTGAGATGTAGTTTGAGAAATCACTATGGATCTTCATCAAGTGACGGCCGAATCAATAAAAAAAAAATCTAGTAACTAAAATATGTGAAGATATGACATCATACATATTTTGACAGGGTATATCTCGAAAACTAATAGTCTGACAAAATAATGTAACATCATGTATTATCCTCCCAGAAATTGTAAATATACATGAGTATATACCGTAAAGTGAAATTCAATCAAGTTTCAGAATCAGGTTCTCCATTTGAAAAAACTAGTAATGACATCATTCTGAAGTAGGCCACCCTGTATGTATAGTATTAATTAAAAATTAGTAAATCAACATATTAAATCAACTTGTTCATGATGAATTGATGCGCGACTGTATCACTACATATTATAACACAAAGTCCCCAGGCCGCCTCTGTCTGTCTGTATAAAAGCGATAGGCTCAAAAATTAACGAATTTTCGGTGTGGTGGTGCTATTCGTGCGAGCCCCGGATCTCGCATCGAAAACGCTGCATCAGGCCTTTGGAATATGTATAAAAAACAGCTATACTCGAATTGAATGGGGTATATCTTCAGGTGAGATCAGTTTTTGAGAAAGAGAATTTTTAGCTTTATACTTCTCCATCTTTGTAAACAATTGTGAAAATCTGTCAAAGAAAAGAAGAAAGCAAAGATGTGTACAAAGATGTGTAGATCACTACAGGCACGAAATGTCAATTTTGAAACAGCTCAACATCAACAAGACGTCTGGTCCTGAATAAGTGCCCGTCATCGTACTCAAAAAGTGCGAAATTGAAATCGCACCCGTATTTTGCAGATTTTGGAAACTGTTCTACAATAAAGGAGTTTTTCCTCCTTGTTGGGGGATTGCTCCCGTTCGGCCTATTTCCAAACAGGGCAAGATAAATCTTTCAAATATTTGGAAGGCTGTAGCGTTTATAAAAACCTACTGTACTTTTCATTTAATTTTTATGTCACCGAAGGTAATCCTAGTTGATTTTAAAGAAAGTTTCCTGAGGAGTAGGCAATCCAATTTACACGTTTTACCTCGCTAAGATTTTCACTTCCCAATACACATATGATAATTAGTTTCTGGTACAGATTGATAAGTTATTCTTTCCAATAGAACCGATTCAATCGGATCCCTTCGAGATAGATTTTCTATTTTCGTTAAACCGACAGTCAGGAATGAGGTGTTGCCAAAATTAATTGGGTGAATTCCTAAGAATAGACTTACGCGGTAGGTGATCCTTGATCATGAGAACAGCAAGGAGAGGTGCCATTCTTTGAAGAGAAGGGTGAACGAGAATCTCGAGAAAGGATTTGTTTAGTGGTGAGCCGTGTGGTCCAATTTCAAGAATTTTAATGATATTGTTTCGGATGTATTTTCATATATAGATTTTGATGTAGAAGGTTGCACTTCCTGAGGATTCTGCTGGGTCACAACCACTTTTCCAGAACGAGCGACGCCATTTCCTTGAACCCTTCGTTTAAAAAGGTATGAAAAATCATTTCGATCATTTCAATTGTATATGAGATTCACCTTTCAGTGAATCGAACTTTTGAATGAATTTCCATTATGGAAATTGTTTTTTCAGGGTTTTAGTATTGGAGACTTTTTACAATAGTTTTTCTACAGAAGAGCTTCTACAGAACTTGTCTGGAATCATCATTGTTGGTTCGGTTGGTAGCCAAGCGGTTCGGCGCGGGTGCTTTGTTCACTCACTCGAATTGACTGCCGTGGTGGTCGGTGGTTCAAGCCCTAGTCTGAACGATCGATCTTCACTTGCTATCGTCCAACCCGTGTTAGGAATCACACGTTAAAAGGTAAGACCTCGTTAATCCTTAGCTCGCACAAGTTTCGACTTCTGAGGGTTGTCGTTCGTAGGGGTGCGACAGCTGGTTAACGGAATAACAGATTTTAAAACAGACAGACAGACAGATTAAAAAAGAACAAGGGCTTTTATCCCTGATTGACTTACGGAATAGATTTTCAGTTAATTTACCGAATGATCGGTTTTTCATTCTTCCAGTTCGATAAATGTTATTTTCCACATTCACAAGATAGTCTAAGTCCATTTTAAAAAATATAAAAGTACGTGCTCCAAGTCTGTCCGGTTCCTGGTCGAAGAAAACTGCAGCTACAGCTCGACGACAAACTAACAGGCAAATACTACTTACACTTGACTCATTTTTCCGAAAATAACTAGTTTTGCATTAGAAATACTGTTTTATTAACATGATACAATTATTGAATTTTGAGTTGACCCATTCATAATGTAAACCTGAACTGAGTATACTCTGGTGAGGTAATTTTTAACACAATTCCTCATAGATTTTTTTCCTATGACATTGATCTTTTAAGTAATACTTTTCCTGGTATTTTTACCTGGACTATAATTAGGTAAATGAAAGCGTACTTTTACTTATGATCATTATTGAGTTATTACAATTTGTTTTACACATGAATATTACTGGAGTTTTTTCCCAACACCAAATCGTTATTTTTAACACTTCGACACGTGTTTCGATCACCAAGTGATCGAAGATTAAAACAGTTTTAATCTTCCTCTTTGAAGATGATCACTTGGTGATCGAAACACGTGTCGAGGAGTTGAAATTAAGGATTTGGTGTTGGGAAAAAACTCCAGTAATATTCATTACTACACCAAAGGTTCAAACAGTGCATCATAAATGTTTTACACATGATTGAATGGCAAATTTTGAGCACATTCAGATTTTGATTTCTACCCTTATTTAATTTACCAGCCAGTATTTTGTGAATGTCAAGTATCTTCAGAATACCTGATTTTTAAAGTTTTTTCATTTCATTGTCGTGACTTAAAAAACTCAATTTGATTAGATTTGGTTTCACAGTCGACCAGATCATGTATCATTCATTTTATTGATATGATCTTTATTAAACAAAATATTCAATTGCTGAAATTTCAGGATACAGAAAACGAAACCCATAGTGCATACCGACGAAGAGCTGTCGCACGAATTGTGCCTATCTTTCGAGTAAATCTATTATAATTTTTGTATTACATGAAAGATAGGGTCACAAGGCTTCAACATCTTGAGTGATCATCAATATGGCTTTCGGAAATAAAGATCAACAGGCGACCTTCTATCCTGTGTCATCCAGATTTGGAATAACGCAATCGAGAAACATGAGGGCTGTTGTGCGTGATATTTCTAAGGCCTCTCACCGTGTGAGGGTTTGCTGGCCAAACTTCGATGCTATGGCTTGTTCGATCATTTTTGCAAGTGGCCGTCGATGGATATCTCTCGAATACTTTTGCCTTTAACTCTGGTGTTCCTCAGGGATCCATATTATTTCCAACTCTCTTTTTATTGTATATTAACGACTCATTGGAAAAAACAAAGAATCCAATATATCGCTCTGCTGACGACAGAACACGTGTCTTGACATTCCATTTGAAATCCAGGACATCGGTCGCGAATACACATCTTTACCGGCAGCGGGAGGTTGCATTTCTTAATGAGGATCTAGTGGTGATTTTGAATTGGGGTGAAAGTAACAACGTTCAATTCAATACCATGAAAACTCAGGCACCGGTTTTCTACAACAAGATAAATATCTCCAAACTGGATATATTGATTTCGGAACAGATAATTCCGCTTTCAGCTTCGATAAGTAGTTTCGTATGCTTTATCGTCATACGAAAAACTGAGTTCATCGACACATTCCTGTTGAGATCATCCACGTCTATTTTTTGTTCAAATCGATTTTCTAAACTCACGGTAAATAAAACAAATATCACTTGTACATTAGAACATTGTGAGTACGTTTATACCAAAAAATGTCTAACTTTATTATGGTGTTGCCACATTTTATCTACTGACATTAGTGTTGCCAGTTCCCGAAATATAAATAATATCCCATCGTGTATCTGGAAGTACTGGTATTCTTTTGTAGACATCAAATTCAAGATCCTGGTTATTTTCAATCACTAAGAAACCTTCTCGTTGTTTTCAATTCCATTTTCAAACTAATCATTCGGTAATCTATTGTTAAGGGTTGAAAAGAAGATATCCATCGACGGCCACTTGCAGGAAACGTTCCTTCAAGAAGCTGGAGAGCCAGTGTTGATTCTCATGATTTCATAGAGAATGTTGAGGATGGAAAAATGTTTGTATCACTTGTTGTATCTTCGTTATTTCCAAGTGTACCTATACCAAAAACTATCGATTATTTTTCTTATTAGTCAGTGGGATATACTTGAAGACTGGCAGTAAACAAATCTAAAGCAAATGAACTTTAAACGTTCAAGCCAGTCTTGATACACCTACACAGTAGGTTTAATGGACTGACCCCTATCAGAAAACAACTACTCCCCTGGCTAATACCACGAAGGGCGTTGGATTATATCCGGCAGGCGTCGGTGCAGGAATCTTCACAGAAAATTTCCTGCATATGTAATTGACAATACAACTGAAAGAGTCGACTTTCAATTCTAGAACTGGCACACTTGCAGACCGGTTTCGAGCTTATTAGCCACTCATCAGTGCAAGATAGTGACCATCATCGACCTAAAGTCAAAGATTTTCCACAATGGAAAATCGAAATTCTTTCAGAGTATTTCATTCCTCTTCCGAAGTAGGAGTGAACATCACAAAATGTTACTCCATCCAGTGGACGAGGTACTAACCAACTGCATATCCGTAATTTGCTTGATTTCTCTGAACAAGGAAGAAAAACTTTCTTATTAGTCAGTGGGCTATGCTTGAAAACTGGCAGTAAACAAATCTAAAGCAAATGAACTTTAAACGTTCAAGCCAGTTTCGATATACCTACACAGTAGGTTCAATGAACTGACGCATATCAGAACAACTACTCTCCTGGCTAATACCACGAAGGGCGTTGGATTATATCCGACAGGCGTCACTGCAGAGTTGTATTGCCAATTGCATATGCAGCAAATTTTCTGTGAAGATTCCTGCACTGACGCCTGTCGGATATAATGCAACGCCCTTCGTGGTATTAGCCAGGGGAGTAGTTGTTTTATGATAGGCCTCAGTCCATTAAACCTACTGTGTAGGTATATCGAGACTGGCTTGAACGTTTAAAGTTCATTTGCTTTAGACTTTTTTACTGCCAGTCTTTAAGCATATCCCACTGAGAAATAAGAAAAATAATCGATAGTTTTTGGTATACGTACACTTGGAAATAAGGAAGATACAACAAGTGATACAAACATTTTTCCATCCTCAACATTCTCTATGAAATCATGTGAATCAACACATCAATTTAATAAGTTTGAGAGAGTTTCAAACTGTTTAGTTAGCCATTTTGCAATTTTATGAGTAAGAGAACGTGTACCGGAGACTATTTGTCGCACCGACTTGCCAGAATTTTTGGTATATCGTATATTTCAGAGATAACGATACTTACTTATACGTTTCTGCTGTTTCTTTCGCAACACCAGCAGCATCGGTGGAAATTTTTTTACTTTTTCTTAGATCCAGAACAATATTTTTCATTTCATCGAACTTGAGAAAGTCATCTCTATCTCTGTCATAATATCTAAAAAACAAATCGCTAGAGGAAACATCTGATACCATCTTTCATGAAAGATATGATGAGATAGATACTCTTCAATTCATGAACAATTTCTGTAACATCAATGATCATTATTGCATTATTGCATGAAAGAATAATATCCTCATATTCCCATGAAAAAAAACTGTGTTATTGAAAAAAATCCGCATTTACCTGAACATATACCTACATCGAATCTCAGCGGCGGCTCCACCATGAGCAGTGTTGGGATCTATGCACGCCAAGAAATATAGAAACTCCCGGAAGGAAATTCCATTGCGCATGTTCAGATCTGCTGCACTGAAATCAAATATAAATCAGAATATATCATAGAGAGATTACTCGTGTCTTCGTGAATCACTTCTGAGGGTTGCCGTTGGTAAGGGAGCGACAGCGGAAGAACACATTTTAAGTAGTTTTTCGAACGTTCAACTCACTTGAAAAGATATCCAGTGTGTTCTTTAGGCCAACCCAATTCCACAACGAATTTAGCGAAAACCCTCTGACTCATGTAGCTGGCTGGATAAACCATGAATATGAACTCCCGTAAAATAGTCTCCTGAGCTGGAATTACCAAAATGTAACATCTCAAATTTGATATCAATGTCATTAGTATGAATTAAGCCAAAGATTTTTCTCCCCTTACATTTAAATTGTATCAAAATATATTTTAATTGTATTCAACTCTCTCAACAAGCCTCAAAATTAAAATTAAATTTTGAAAATTAACATTTTTGAATGGGTTTGCAGATAGCTGAATAATGTTGAATAAAATTCTGAATTAAACATAATGCTTAAGTTTTTTTCGTATATATTTCTTCTATATTTCGATGTGTCTTCAGAAATGTAGTTATCGTTTCATTGTTCCAGAATGTAGTCAGTTTCAATCAACTCTTTCAATGAACATGATTATTTCATAGATGAATGTATTGTTTCGTTTATACATTTCGACATTGTTTCGTTTATACGCGTAGGTTTACCAATAATTGACTACACTGAACAATGATCAAATTCAACTTTATTTCACTTTCAATACAACAAACCACATTAACTTAAACTCCAACTATTATTCAAATGTCTATCGCCTTATTAGATCGCTCCGAATACCGCACTGTCACTTGACTGTATGACTGTATTATATGTTCGTGGATAGCGTTTATATTTGGCAATCGAAGGCGGTAGAAAATTCATCGAAATTCCATCGAAGCCGGTGGAATATTTCTTGGGATTCCATCGATGCCGGTGCGAAGACTAGAATAATCAAGGCTGCTCGCCTTGACCAGGTCGCAGTTGGTTTATGGCTACCAGTGGTGGCCGGCGTTATTTTCTTTAGGGCATGATTTACAAAACTATTTCCTTTCTTGAAGTTATTCGCCGCGAACAACATTCCAAGAGGGCACATCACGACCCATGTAAGGACTCAGTCTCTCTATGTGGACAACTTTAGGCTTGCTTCTGGGTGACAATTGGAGTCTGTACACCAAATCGTTCATCTTTTTGATCATCAAGTAAAGTCCTTGCCATAGTCTCTGTAACACCCATGCTCAATCCCTAAATAGATGGGATGAATCTTGCCAGGATCACCCTTAGCGACCCTGGGAAGCTGGTGCTTAACAGTAGGATTTCTGACTGATCACTGCCAACTAAGGAAACATCTCCACAATATGGGGCTAGTGGACACACCTTTATGCAGGATGTGTGAACAGGAAGATGAAACTGTCAGGCATGTCCTATGCGAATGTCCGGAGTTATGGTCAATAAGAGAGTGTATACATTTAATCAGTTCAGACTTCCATTGTCCAATATGTCAACATTGTCAACCACCATCAAACAAAGAGAGTGTGTCTTCGTCGCGTCTTGGCCTACACCTGCCGATATAAAGGGGATGTTTCCCAGAGACCTGTCCACCTTCCTGGAAAGGACAGGATGGACGATGACCTAGGAGGACAACTCCTTGTGAGGGGTATACGAAAAGAATGAGACAGAAACAGCGGCATATAGACGTCAATGAAAACTAGCAGAGCGGTATTCCTACTTCTAAGCCCAGCGCCTGCAGAAAAACAGGTCGTAAACGCTGGCAAATACATACGAAATGAGTTTTTTTCGTTGTGTAAATATTGAAAGTAGGTCAGGCAGGATCGCACGGCTTTTGCGATCGCCGATTGGCCGAGAGTGGCGCGGAAGAGAACCCGTTTATTTAGCATAAATATACGGATTTCCAAGCCACGATAGTTAGTCGAAGTTTGAACATCGAGCAAGTAGCAGTCATTTTAAAAATCCGAAGATTTTTCGAAAGTTTGAAGCTGCGGTTGGGATTTATTGAATGAATTCGAGTCTCTGGTTTTTTTCAGAACTTAATAGAGACAAAGCACAACACAGGAGCCGTTAGGGATCTGCGGTTATCTTCATATAGTGGAATTGGAAGAATTTCTACTGGAGTCAGGAATCTCTAGGACCAATAGAGAATAAATCAGCGCAGACCAGTGGCTGGATATTTATTTGAGGAATTCTAGGATTGTGGAAACTCTGGGATTTACCAGAGCTTATACTGGAGCAGATTACTGGTTGGATAACTTAATATAGTGCATAATCATACCTTACGTTTGCCCAGGTTCCTTTTGGCACTCCGCCAGAGGAAAGCAGCCCAAATCCTGCAAAGGAAGAGCAGGTCCCTACTAAAGTTGCCCGCTCTCACTCCACCCGATCACCTTGCGGTGTTAATGATCGAGGTGTTTCGAGATTAAACTCGGGAGGGTCAAGACATCATTAGTTACGTCCTTCGGGCGAACGACTCAACCTAACCGTTGGGACCTGAAAGGTCCCAACGGAGCCTAACGGGTGCTGTTCAACCGTTAGGCTCCTTGTTCCTAAATCACTAGCTCAGTTCACCCTGTAGGCCTTGGATAGGAAAGTAGCTTTCGCGATCCAAGGGTGAACTTAAAAACATTAGATTTCCGTGAATCCTTTCCTCTGACTATTTCCTCGTCAGAGTCATAGGGAAACTTAGAAATCAAAATGCAGACTAGGGCAAGACACGCGCGAGCGCAACTTGCAGAAAATACATCAGTGCCAAATCGCGAGACCACAATTTTCGGTCAAACCAATTTCTTGTCAGACATTTTTAGCCGTCTGAGTACGACTCCGACGAGCCGACAAGGAACCCCTTTGGAATATGGTTTCACAGGAAACAGTATTCCAAGAACTCCGGTAGGATCAGCTAGTCTGAGGCTAGGTTCTACTCAGCGCATTCTTTCCACGAACGAAGACATCAGTACCTCTCCCTTGGTCGCAGAGCGACAAACTCTGGGCATTGATAGTTTTTCAGCAAGCCGAATAATTAGAGAATTCGACAAGTCACAAAGGAAAAAGCTATCCTCAAACCGCGATAAAACAACGCGAAATAGCATGTTTGAATTAAATCGCATTAGGGAAAATAAAACCTCGGCGATGAGAAGGATTGATTTATTACATGCAGAAGTGGAACGTCAGGCAGCGACTTTACAAGAAACTGGACATCAGGAGGAGATGCACAAACCACACCGCAAAGCGAACCCCAATTAGGGCTTCGCGCGATGTTATCAATGCGAGTACGATCGAGGATTTTTGTCGACGGCGACAACCGGAAGGAGTTTTCCCTCCGAAACCGATAGTTCTGCCTGAATGCGAGCCATTGAGGCACACTATGGAGGAGTTACCCATTTATGTGGTAACCCCGAGTCCGAGAATGCACAGGGTGTACAGCCATCCTGTGGAAACGGAAATTGTATGAGAAACATTGCCATTGTCAAACCCGACAAGAAGACCATGCCATAGCGGACCGGACTTTCGAAACAGCGAATGTTTCGAAAGAAGATCCACCGGACAGGACTTTCGAAACAAGGAAAGTTTCGAGAGGCGCGGTGAAGGACAGCGTTTCCAAAGCAAAGAAGGCTTTGGAGATGCTGCCATCATGAAAGTAAGCGACGAAGCAAAGGTCGTCCGACGCCAGGCGTCGCGATGCCCCCAGGGGGGAGCATTTAGCGAATCCTGGGAGGAGAAGGGTGCGTTGCGCACAGGAGCGCCTCGTACCCTGTTTAAGCCGGATACTGACGACCTAGCGGAAGCGCTAGGGGGTGGAGGAATGCCAGGGAGTCACACTGAAGCCGAGAGAGGCTTGGGGTGGCCTCATGGCGGGGTTAGTACCTCCACAAGGAGTTTCAAATTCCAGAAGAGCTAACTGAAGCAAACCAACCTCCCGTCCTACCCAGACAGGAACTGAGTCCTAAAATCCCTGGGGCTCAGGTGTGGGAGGCCAGCCGGCCGTTACGGTGAAGGGTTAATGTGGTCGACGGGGGCGGAGTCGTAGGACACGCCCCTTCAAAGGAACCCGACTACTACCCCTCCGGAGGACATTTGTTTGTGTGTCGAGCCATACACATTACTCATCGATTGGAAAATGTTCTTTTTTTTTGAATATCATGCCAAAACGATCCAAAAGGCGACGTAGCCATAGTAGGGAAAAAGATCAAGATGATCATGTGGACAATCGAAGACGAATCCGCAAGTTTTTAAGGCAAGGTTTTAATAATTAGAGAATAACTTGGAGAAAAAATCGCCGGCGGGTTTCTTTCACGCCCAGAACGGAAGGAAAGCTCTGCAGGGTACCCTGAGCATAGCTGAAATGTGCCACATTCGCCCAGTTCAGTAAATTCAATTTTACCCTAGGGAGAGTTTGATGGAACATGCCCGGTGAAAGGACAGAAAAACACTGAACCCCAAGGTAGGTTCCTAAATGCTTGTGATAGCATTGAAATATTGTTCGTGATAACAAAAGACAAGGCAATAAATATACTCTGGTGAGAGTTTGATGGAGCATGTCCCGGTGAGAGGATAGGAAAACACTGAACCCCAAGGTAGGTTCCTGAATGCTTATGATAGCATTGAAATATTGTTTGTGATAACAATAGACAAGGCAATAAATATACTCTGGTGAGAGTTTGATGGAGCATGTCCCGGTGAGAGGATAGGAAAACACTGAACCCCAAGGTAGGTTCCTAAATACTTGTGATAACATTGAAATATTGTTTGTGATAACAATAGACAAGGCAATACATATACTCTGGTGAGAGTTTGATGGAGCATGTCCCGGTGAGAGGACAGGAAAACACTGAACCCCAAGGTAGGTTCCTAAATGCTTGTGATAGCATTGAAATATTATTTGTGATAACAATAGACAAAGCAATAAATATACTCTAGTGAGAGTTTGATGGAGCATGTCCCGGTGAGAGGACAGGAAAACACTGAAACCCAAGGTAGGTTCCTAAATACTTGTGATAGCATTGAAATATTGTTTGTGATAACAAAAGACAAAGAAATATTAGGCTTGTAATAGTCTAAATATAAATATATTATTAATTAAGTATCTGTAATTTTTTGGACATCTAAGTCCTTTTTTTTTCACGGTGAGATGAAAAAATACCATAACTATTATCTGTGTGAGGATAATTGTTGGGATAAATATAATGTTTTTCTCCTTCCTTTGAATTTAGGTGACCTGAGCGGGTATCCAAAAGAATGGCTTGGGGCTCCTCAGCAAATATCCTCCTCCAGAAAATTGTAACTTACTAGCTGCGCCAAAATTGAATTTTCTGATTGTCGCAGCCGTATCTGAATCTGTGGCTCGCCGAGATTCTTGGCTGGCAAGCCTACAAAATCAAATTGGTGCAAGCCTTGCTGGAATGTGCGGAGTCTTAACATCCATGCTAAAAAAGGAGGGGGGATAGCAGATTCATTCAGGCCCTAAGCGATGCCTCTCGACTTCTCTCAGATCTTCATAAGCAAGAGATAGTATCGCGAAGGGAATTGTCTTCATTCAACTTGAAAAAAAAAACAGAAGGAAACGCTGAGTGGTGCTCCAATAGATGGCTGGCTCTTCGGGGAAAGTCTGGAAGAAAGAATTAAAGCTTCTAAATGCCTAGAAAGGTGCAGCCGAAACTTGAAGGTGAGTGAGGTAAGGAAAAAAATGCACCAAATACCTTGATAAAGTCTTTAAACCGACACAGTCCACCCAGGCAATTTCAGAGAGGTTGTCAGGGGGGACGCAAAAATCAACAGCCTTGAGTTCCTCAAGGATATCACCAAAGAGGAAAGAAGAGATTTCAGAGAACACATCAGAGAGCGAAGACAGACAGATACCAGCAGTGAGTGAGGTTAGTAAATCAGCAGGCAGATTGAAAGATTTTGTGGCTATCTGGCGATGTATAACTCCAGATAAGAAAGTGCTTTCTTGGTTAGAGAGCCTAAAGTTGCCATTTGATATATTACTCATTCAAGTGTTTACTCCAAAAGAGCCCAAATGGTCAGGAGCTGAAGCAACAAAAATTAATATTGCTTTACAATAATTGCTGGTAAGTGATGCTGTTAGTGAAGCTCTTCCTTGCAGGGACTAATATATTTCGAAAATATTTTTAACACCAAAACCAGATAGTTCTCAACCGTTGATTTTGAACCTCTAATACTTGAATGAGTTCATTCTAACTGATCATTTCAAAATGGACGATCATAAAATGGTTACCAGACTCATCAGGTTGTGATGGTTCATGGCAACTGTGGATTTGAAAGATGCATACCACCTTGTCCCAATACATCACTCCCATAAAAATATTTGAGGTTTAGATTCAATGGTAACATATATAAGTACAACTGCTTACCGTTTGGCCTCAGTTGTTCGCCACTGGTCTTTACAAAATTAACCAAACTGGTTATTAGTTTCCTTAGGGGAGAGGGATGGATTTCAGTAGTATATTTAGATGATTTCCTCTTGATAGGAGATTCTTTCGAAAAATGTCAGAAAAATGTGTCGGTGACCATTCAATTTTTACAGCAACTTGGCTGTATAATAAATTACTCCAAGAGTCAAATACAACCACAACAGCAGTGTAAATATCTCGATTTCAATTACAATTCAGTGAACATCACTCCCCATGGAAAAAAAGGGCAAAATTAGTTGGTCTAATAAATGAATTTCTAACCCGAAGCAGATGTCAAATCAGAGATTTTGCGTAATTCGTTGGCCACTTGACTACTGCATGTCTAGCTAAACTACGCTATTCGTGGTTATATACGAAAGTTTTCGAGAGAGAATAATTCCATGCCATGAAAAAATGTAGGGGTAGCTACAGCTTCAGTATGTTAATAACCCAAAGGCTGAATAATGCTTTTCAATGGTGGGAAAATGGGAAAAATCTGTGCAGATGTCATTAATTCTATAGGCCCGTTTAAATTTGTACGAAAAATTTTTTCTGACGCCTCAACTACGAGTTGGGGAATATTTTGCGAAAGCGAAAGAGCCTATGAACTATGGAACGAAAAAGAGAAGAAGTTTCATATAAATATTCACGAACTGTTAGCGGCATTTTTTGGTTTGAAAAACTTTGCTGCAGATTTATCCAATGTAGAAGTTTTATGTCGCATTGACAACACCACGGCGATAGGATGCATCAATCGGATAGGAAGTGTTCAACACGAACAGCTAGGAAATAAAACGGAATTGGAAATTAATAGTGAGGTATTTCAAAAAACAACACTTAGCATGGCCATAAGCGGAAATGAACCTATTTGCCGCCAGACATAATGAGAAATGTAAAAAGTTTGTATCATTGTTGAGAGACCCTAAATATTGGGCCGTAGAGGCCTTTGCGTTGAATTGGAGCAATCTTCTTTTCTATGCATTTCCATCTCACTGTATGATATTGAAAAATGTTCAAAAAAGAATTGAAAACAAAGCTGAGGGTGTAGTTGTGGTTGCTAAATGGATTTCTCAACCATGGTACCCTGCAAGTGAACGTCCCTGGATAATTGTTTGGCATCCATAAATGATTCAACAATGGAACAGTATAATGCTGGATTCATCATGGTGGATTTTTGTAAAGTGTAGCACATGATTTCAAGATTAAGAGATTTTTCAGGGGCGTTTTCAGTCTATGACCAAGCACACCCATACATAATATCACCTGGGACCCGGCTATAGTCTTGAACTATGTTAGGAACACGTCGTCGGGAGAAATCAGGCTGGAAATGCTAACCCACAAACTAGCGGTATTATTAGCCCTTGCCACATAGAGGTTTGCAATATCACCAGAACGAGCGACGCTCTGAATATTAAAATACCTGAAAGGATAAAAACTTCTGGCCCCAAAAAACCTCAACCTACTCTAGTGTTACCATTTTTCAAGGAAGACCCGAAAGTATGCGCATCAAGTACCTTATTGGAATATTTCGCGAAGACGAAGGAATTACGCAGTACCTCATCGGACCACCTCTTTATCACATACAAAAAGCCTTACCATACTGCTTCACCTCAAACCATCAGCAGATGGATGGAGGCAATTCTAGAAAGAAGTGCTTTATATTTTGTTCATAATTTAGTATAAAAATATTTCTTTTCGAGTTAATTTTCATTTCCAATTGTCATTAGATAATGAAAGTTGTTTGTTGCATCGTGCTTTCAACATCTACAATTACTCTTATTTATGAAACGAGGCCGAAATATAATTATAAGATCAAACGAACTTACCTGAGTGAAGTTCGATCTCATTTATATGAGGGCCTCGTCGAAATAAATAAAAACCCACCCAAAGAACCATTTCTAATACCCACTGAGATGCAACAAAAATCAACTTTAAAGAAGAATGAGTCGGACTGGGTATGTCGTCTAGCTTTAAAAATGTGTGGTTCAGTACGCAACCGAGGGTACCTACTACAATTACTCTTATTTATTTCGACGAGGCCCTCATATAATTAAGATCGAACTTCACTCAGGTAAGTTCGTTTGATCTTATAAATTTATATTCAAAAATTTGCAACCTATTCATTCGCCTTTTTCGATTGATTGTTCTCACAAATGACTAATTCTGTTATTTTGGATTTCAATTCCCCCATCCTCACTCAAAGCACTAGAAATCAAAACATCTGCAATTCATCAATACCTGCTATGAATGGAATGAATTTTGCGTTTTCTGAATAAGCTTTGCAAATTCAGTTTCAAGCAAACTTCTTACCGAATCATAGTTCAATAGACTCACCTAACTTATCTATTCCGGATGCCTCAACTAACTGATTGTAAATATTTCCTTTTCCTGATACGAGAATGTCGTCAGCAGTTTCACACAAGTTCTCTACAAATACGCTGTCTTCAGGATGAGACCGGGGCGGATTTTTGTTCCTTTTAACAAGATAAAACAAATCGAGTAACTCGGAGCTCTTCAAGTTGTTGTTCGTCGCCAATTTCGTCAAATCTGCTTCCGCCACCCAACGGAGTTTCCCTCGATACTGATAGAAAAATATAATCAATCAACTGCCGATGAGAATGGTATCGTATAGAAAGTTATCGTTCAAATAGATTGAGAAGTATATTTTCCAAAATTGATTCATGGTGAAAGAACAATATATTTTTACATCTCTTATCACCAGTCATAGAAATTATTTTTGGCATCATGCATCGGCACAGAAATTGTCTGGATGGACAACTTAAGTTCATTCAACAAAGAGGTCGTCAATTTGGGCATTTATTGTAGATTGCCATGTAGCTTTGATTTTCCGTATTGGTTTCTTTTTTTCCAAAAGTTCATGATAAAATAAATTGTTTTTCTGTTTGATTGTTGTCACTGATGATGATGGTTATTTCAAATGAATCGCTATAAAAATATCAAATGTGATATACTCTTGGATTATGAATTTGTTGCCTTATCAATATCTGCAATAAAAAAGACAGGTCCGTATTAAAAAAAGTTGATGGTGGCCACGTTGACACAAAATGTTTTATCGAACATTTATCATTACATCGTCATAGTACACTTCTAATACAATAACATTTTCCTTTTCCATTTTTTATATTCTCCAAAATAACAATTCCATTCGAAAAAAACGAAAAACAGCATTTTATCTTTTTCCCGTATAACTCGAGAAGGGCGAAAGTCATCTTAAATTTTCTTCAACAATTGTATTGTTCCCGATGACAGTTACCTATTTTTCCCATTCAATCGTCTACGTATCTGTTACGGTTTAGAATATAGCGCAATATTACCACATGATAAAAGAAAACTACAAAATTGACACTTGTCTTTTGTAGCGAGAGTCCAACATATCCCTAAGAAAACACTTTCAACAAATCTTGCTGCTCTCAGTAATCTTCAGTGATAGAGATGACTATATAGAGAGATCAACAATCCTCAAATATCAAAGATAGACAATGCTTCCCAAGCTGGACACTTGCTAAGCAAAGCTTCGACATTGAACACTGACGAGATTCGTCCTCTGGCTTTTTTATTAACGCAATAGAAACCAAAACAATGATTTTTATTGTTCATGTCTGTTGTGCGATTGTGCACTCTAATTTCAAAAACAGCTCATCCGATTTGATAATAATAATAATAATGTTTATTCAGATTCAAATCACAAAAAAAAACTAAAGTAATACATACAGTTGAATAAACATTGTAGAAACCACAGAAGCATCAGATGTTGCTTGTATGTGGTGAAAGGGAGATCCAGATGAAAAAAAATTAATATATGATAAATATCAAAGTATGAGAATGAATTATATATAGAGGTGATTTGCATATGAAAATAAACTACTTAATATATGAAATTAAAAACACATTAGATAATATAAAATCACAAATATAAGTATAAATATAAAAAGTTGTCAGTTTTGACATATAATATTATTTGAATATAAAATCATACAAACATAAAACTAAATTGACAGTTAAGTATAAAATCACAAATGTAAAATACGCGTACTAGTAATAATATATAAGAACATGTAGTAATGGTTATTAATTCATTTCAATCAATTTCAATTTCGGCTCATTGAATCGCCGCCTAGGTTGTTTTTGCGTATCTAACTTTTCAAAATTTGAACCTGGTACGCCGGAATGAAAGGGAAAAAATATTTCACTCAGAAATTACTTTTTTTCAGCAACATTTACTTAAATTCGAGCCCACATCCCCCAATTCTCGCAGAATTCTTTGGAAAGGCAGTTTAACTCCTCCAGAACTACATAAATAAGTTCATCGTGACATTTGACCATATTCATTATTCATATTTTCATGAGAGATCTCCCCTTATGAAAAAGCTACTCCTGAAATATTTACTTTCATTGTCTCAAATTTTTTGATCAAATAAAACAAATGCAAAGTTTCGATATGGAAAGAAGTGATTTTCCTTATATTCAATCTGAAGATATGCTACTACCAAAAAACTGCTCAAATCTATGAATTATCTTGTTGGTTGAATCCAACAATGAAATTCAAACAAGTAACAACTATTTGGATTCATTTCGTTGTATGAGTGGGATCAGAAGATACTTCTCAAATACTATCGTATCTATTGATGATCAAGGATTTCCCCGTGTGGGAGGAAAACTTAGACATGCCCCCAATCTTCAATATAAAAAATGTCCTGTTAAATGTTCTGTTTTTTATCAAAGAAGAGTAGGTTTACTGACCTCATTTGGTGAACAATTGTATGAATAGTTCCATACAGAAATACGTTCAAAATTTAATAGCACAACTCTACAAAATCTGATCGTCGAATCATACAATAATAATAATTTAGGATTTTACTATCCACTTAACAATATACATTGTAAAGGATCCGTCGGATACACAGAAATCATTATGACAAATAAAATTACATTCAGAAATGAATGAATATATATTATTTTCATCACTTCATTAACGAGCAAAATGGTTTGATGATAGCTCATTGCCGAATATAGACAATATATGTTTCTTCCTATTATAATTTGGGATTTTCATACTTTCAGTCTTCTGCGGAAAACTCACCACGTTGCAACATGAAAAACTAATTTCAATATAAGATAAGATTAGTCCGGATTTCTCTCCTAGAGGTTTCCATATGGTACGTATCTCTACGCTAGCTTGACTAAATGCGTTACTTCAGGAAAGTGTCCAGTTCTGCACATCAACAACGTAAGTCCTTCCATCACTTTCACAATGGAGAAGGAAGTCCACAACGAAGTGCCATTCTTAGACTTTATGGTGAAGAGGACCGACACTAAATGGGAAACATCTGTATATCAAAAACCCACTCACACAGGACAGTAAATGAACCAGGAATCCAATCACCATCAATGGACTAAAAGAGGAATCATCAAGACCCTACTAGACCGTGCTTTCGGGCTTTAGCTAGAAGACAGCAAAAGCTCCACAAGGAAGAGAAGCCACCACAACCAGTACTTGTACTTCCCTACATCAGAGGACTGTCGGAAAGGATAAAAAGGATTAGGTCCAAGTATAACATCAAAACCTGCTTCAGATCTGGGAACATTATCCGTAGCAGGCTCACGAAAACCAGGCCACCAAACGCGGACTGCCATTGCCTTTACCGGATACCCTGCGAGTGTGGAGAATCATACATCAGTGAAACCAAGAAGCTATTGAATGTTCACATTGCCGAGCACAAGAAACACACACACAGCGAGGAAAAACCAGCAAATCCGGAATAGCAGAGCATATTTGGACTCATCAACATAAAACAAGTGGACTCAGGCTGAAATCATCCACAAGGAGGAACAAAAATTCAAAGAGGCCGCATATATGTTGTCCAACAACGCGTAGAGATACGTAACATATGGAAACCTCTAATCAAGCGGAACACGACCAAGTCCCGCCAAATGGTCAGCTCCCGCTAAAAACCAATGAAGCGGAGAGAGGTTAGAAGGGATAGGTGAAGGCAGTCGAATGACCTATAAATAGTCAAATTTCCAAGGAATAAGTTATCACCCGAAGACGATTGTGGATATTAACAATCGGAACGTCGTGAAGTAACTTGGTTTGAAATCTTTTAATTTTATATTTTCAATTTTCTAGTCAATAATTTTTCAGCTCGTGTTGATAGTTTACTTATTTTTTTTTGTTCTTTTGGTTTTGGCTCGTATATTATTTCATTGTAATTTCAGTTTTTTGCTTAATAAAATTGTTTTTTCAGCTGATCTTTTAAAGTATTCACAGATCCTTTCAGGGATTCCAAATCAATTTATATCATATTAGACAATGGAAGTTTGAACTGATGAAATGTACCACGAAACATTGTCAATCACCTTCAAACGAGAGTGAATATCATGTTTATGAAAATGTAGCTGTTGATAAAGAGATAAAAACATTGCATGCTGTGAATTTTGAATGTATTACCTTTCCCATAGTATTTTTGGCTTTATTTTTCACTCCTGCATCTACAGTCAATTCAAAAACAACATGCAGCAAAAATTGTTGAGTATGTCTTGGTATCCATATTTTATAAATTCTTAAGACTCTGTCAACAGTGGAACCATCAAAAATCTGCAAAATAAGATTATTACTTTCAAATGTCTACATTGTCAGTTCCTATAGTCAGATATTAACGTTTTACCTTTAAATTTGGGAAATATTTCAAACTTATCTTTGAAAAATTTTCGTTTCAAGTTCAAGAAGTAAGAAAATCAAATAATGATTTTTAGAAATGAAAGGTTTTGACTTTCTACATCTACATCTTTATACAAGAAAATGTGAGAATGTTTCAAAAATCAATCTCCCCTAAAAATATTACTCCTTTCAATTCACAGAACAATGATATTTTCATCAAGAAGATGTTGATGTGAAAGTGAATTAATTTAACCATAGTGGACTATCATGAGGAAGAGAAAAGCATCATGCATCGATCTAATGCTTCACTTGAACATCTGAGTAATCCTTACACTTCGTATATTCATCCAAAACTGATTGCTCTCCGGATCCTGACACTCTGAATTTGTATTCTAAACAACACCAAACCAGGCGTTAGTAATTTCAGATTAATACCAACTACGGATTTGGATATCTATAAAGTTTTTATCAATCAAATCCCAAGCCTTTGGTGTCGATAAAATTAACTTCGTCATGCTTTCGAACTGTTGTCCTGTAATTCTCCCAATTATATCTCATATATTTAATTTTTGTATCAGTAATCATGTATTTCCTCAAATCTGGAAAAAATAATTTATCACTCCTTTGCCTAAAACATCCAATCCATCTGATTTCAAATCTTTTCGTCCAATAAGGATACTCTGATTATTATCTGAAGTGTTAGAGAAAATTAAATTTTCCCAGATTCAGTATCTCCTAGATTCCAGTCACGATTCAAATCTAAACACAGCTGTGTCACCGCCCTTCTGAAAATTACTAATGACATCTTTGGGGCGACTGACATAAAAAACAGTTGAAGGCTCTAATAATGCTTGATTATTCGAAAGGCTTCGACCGCATTAAGGCTCGCGCAAACCGGAGCGGCCGCGAACGCGGTGGCGGACGCGGTGGCGATGCGGTCGCAAAGCGAACAAAACCGCCGCACACCAATGCGTTCAAAGTATAAGAAACGATATGGATTTTGAAGAGGAAACGTTGCTTCTCGCCATGTTAATTGACGAAGATGGTGAACCTCAAAAGTAAGTATAAACTAATCTTGTTTCTTACTAAATAGGTATAGTTATAAAATTGACCTGTATATTTTTTTGTAGAAAGAAACGAAGAATTTGGATTCACGATATTAACTTAACTCGTGAAATTCAAGGAGAATTTCACACATTATATCACGAACTAAGAGAGGACAAACAGCGCTTTTTAATATATTTCAGGATGACTGTAGAATGTTTCGATGAAATATTAGATCTCATAAAAGAGGACATAACAAAACAGTTTACTCATTACAGAGAACCTATAGGACCAGCTGAACGACTAGCTGTAACACTTAGTACGTAACTAACAAAATAATTATTTTTAAAACATAGTTTTTATTTGTTAAACAAGTAAATAACGAAATAAGTATCTACATAATTAAGTATTGCACATGTTTTAAATGTTGGACGGGAATTTCGTTAGTGAAGTTCCAAATCTTTCATACCAATCTACAGAAAATTCACTGTCGTGAAAATTGGATTCTGATGATCCCGGTCTGNATTCGTCAAAGATTTGTTTCGTTTTTTAATGACAATAATTAATAATTAAAATAAATATTTTAAGAAAAATACATTACCTACTACAAATATGTTATTTTGTACTTACCAGTTACCCCTTCAAACGACTCGGCAATCTCGTCCCATATTTTGTCTTTTTTCTTGATATTTTTATACTCACTATTAGTGAGATCATACAAAATTGGTTTAACACGAACACTTTCGATAAGCTCCTCTGTGCTCAACATGTTTTGTCCTGCAGAAGATCGCGCGAATTGAGCGGGCAAATAGTGTAAGCAGCGTTCTACCGCCGAACGCCAAGCGAGACGCGGACATTTCGCTGCAAAACAAGCGGGCGCGTGTGGTAGATCGCTTAGGTTTGCCCTCTTTAATTATTTCACACGCACAGCGTTTGAACGCATCGCCACCGCGTCCGCCACCGCGTTCGCGGCCGCTCCGGTTTGCGCGAGCCTTTAAACTTCAGTACTTGCTATCCTACAATATATCTGCTTCACACAGGATTCAGTCAGATTACTTCAGGCTCATTTGAAAAATCGAATGCAGGCCGTTTTGATGAATGGAAATTGCTTTAACTGTTTGAAATCTGTTTAAAATCTACATATGGAAAATGGAGGCCAGCAGGTTTCTAATTTGGGGCCTGCACACGAGCTCCAAAATTGTATCAAATTAAATTGTTATCACCAATACGCAGATCATATCCAAATTCATGTTTCGATTTTAAAATCGAATTTTAGCAAATTTCCAACTGAATTCAGATATTGAATTAATCGTTATTGTATCTCAAATAGAGAAACACTAAATAGAAAGGGTAAAATCATCTTCTGTGAGTTTTTAGTCCTTTCCCACCTCAAATACGCCAACAACAAATAATCCTGCAATTTCTGAAAGAGACTGACTTCGGCTACAAATGGTTCAGAACTCTAGTCTGCGTTTGATTCAAGATCTGAAAAGACGTGATCACGTATCCGGGCTGCTGAGGGAAATCGGTTGACTCACTATTTACAACTGACGAATTATTCATATATGCACTTCGTCCCATAAGATTATAGAAACAATGTAGCCACCTTGTTTTTATGGAGAACAATTACCTTCTGGACTGACATTCAACACCTGAACGTACGATTCAAATCTAGGCTTACGCTATCGCTGCATATACTAATAATATACTAATCTTTGGATAAACAATGTGGAAAAAATTCTTCCTCTTTCATTTCACATACGAGAGGTATGACTTACCAGTCTAAAGCTGGTAGACTTTGAATATTCCAAAGAGCTGAATCGTGTGAAATGACTACGAAACGAATTATAAGATTATTCTCAGAACAAAGGAAGAAATTATGAAAAAACATTTGAAAAAGTTCACTTCAAGCGACATATGATCCACTTCGAACATAACACAAATCAAATAAAATATAACAAATGATTCACTTCAGAATTCAATAATATTCCCCGAAATAATCAATCAGTTTCGATCGTCTACTTTATAACTTTAACACAACTAGGCTTTATAACAAAATCCTGAATATTAATTCCTTCATTCAATTTGAGAAGGTGACTTCTATCAGATGAGTTATCACTGTGAATGTTTGTCAGTTGTAAATCGTAATTTTTTGTTTTGCTATGTCGAAACTTGAGGAATAATTGAAGTATACTGTAGTCCTCTACATGTGAATTTGCTTGTTTGCTTGTAACAGGTTGAGTTAGCACACCCTGTAATAATTCAAATCAATTGATTGAGTGGAAGAAGGCACTTGTCCCACCTCTTCTCAGTACGAACCGTTTGCTAACACTGCCTTTTTGTAGGTCATTTTCTCTAACGCTATTGTAATTTCAGTTTGATTCTACCAATGAAATCGTTTGTCATTATTATATACAGGGTCCTGCAACAGTGGCGCGGTGTTCCATATCTCTATATAGGAAGCAGATAGGAATCTAACTTTCTATAATATTACCTTATTGCTCGAGCTCGACAAAATAAAAATATTGGCGGTCACACAGGGTGTTCGATTTTTTCTGGGCGGATCCCAACTGTGTCTTTTTAAATGGCAACCTATATTTTTTATCGCTTTTTCGGTTTCTTCATAGAAAATAAAATAAACTTTATGTATATCTGCACTTCGAAAATATTGA